GATTTTGACCATTCGCTTGCTCCATTAAGCAATGCCGATTTCAGACCTAATAGAGGTAAATCGATGTCCAAATGGTCGTATTTTCATGCATTTTGGCGAAAAAATAGCAGTTTTCTCAATTAAAATGTCGTAGGAGTCCATTTTCGACCATTTTCCCCAAAAAACGGTGAAAAATGACATATGATTCACCTGCCGAGGCCAAATACACGAACTGAATGGGGATTACACACGAAATTTTATTTTTCTATCTGAAGCGGCTTGACATGGGCTATCTTTTGACGTAAAAAAACGTGTCAAAAAAACACCACTCTTTTGAGATATTTCACTTTTCATACTTTGAACCCATTTTTCGTGGCTCAAATGGGGTCATAGGGGAAGGGTAACTAGGCAGTTTTTGTAGCCGCATCGTTTCCCTTTCCAACGGTAGCATAGTTTCGGCAATGTGTCAACTATTTCACAGTAAGATTTCAGTTGACGCAAACCCTTTTTTTCGTTTTTTTCAATTTTTTGCAAAATTTACACTGGGTGAACTCAGAAATGTGGTCACTTACAGCCCTAAGATTTTGATTTTCTCATTTCCTATCGAAAACAAGACTCCGAACCAATTTTCAGCCAATTCGAATACCCCACATTACAACTCTTCTCTGATTTCATGTGGAATTGCCGATGTATTGGTTGTCTTCCATTGAGCTACTACCCGTGCTAATGAATGTGTGTTTCACTTTTAGTATTGCTTTTGCTGTTCTTCTCATTCCAGAAGAACGCTGGTGTCGTGACATTCCGTCCATTTGTTTGTTATCAACATTTTTGGAAGTTATTTGTTAAAGTGAATCCATATAAATACTTCTTACTATTTTTAAAATTCCGAGAGTGTCGTCGAAATTCTACAATAAAAATAGCACATTTCGTAAATAAACTTTATGTGATCGAATATATGTGTTGCTGCCTAAAAATTATATTTTAAGAATTGAATAGCATTCGGTAAATCTTTTGTATGTGTGTTAGTTAGACGGTGAGATCATTTGTATACACATTGAACATCTGCTTGTTATCTAATAAACAAAATTGTATTCGGCTTGTGTTTCGGTGAAACAGACTTACACTAATATACTAACCCGGTCTAATGTGCTTTGGGCACGTTTTTCATTTTTGCATAGATTTCGCTCGAGATTGAAAGTTTGTTTGCGAGGATCCAGTTGTATTTTGGAGGTCGTGTGTGAAACAAGTGATCAACATGTCAAGACTTAATGATGTTGTGGTTCAGGTGCCAAACGAAGAAAATCCTTTAAACAACAATGATGATTTTATTCGGCGCGGTGGAACTGAAAATCGTATGTTCAATCAATAACGATATTTTGAATCAATTATTTTTTTTTATTAATGAGCAAAGTATGAAAAAAATCGTTTTCATCATAGTAAATAATGGCTATCAAGGCGTGGTTTATATCAATTTTAACACTGACCCTGCATAACCTCCAAAAAGTTATATGAACACAATTTAAAAATACTTTCATCATCGCCGGTCAGTAATTAGTTATGAATGTGTGTGTTATACATATTTCTATCATGATGATGTCTGTAGTAGTCTGTAATCTGTAAACAACCAGTCACTGTCTACAAACTGTTTATGTCGAGGATTTTTATTTTATTTTTCCCGCTCCCATCGCAGTAATGTATCGCGATTTTCAGACAAATGAATTATCGCTTTTGTTTTGCGCACTCTTTTGGTATCATACGAGAAATGTTTATTTGATATCAATGTTTTCTAGGAATTGATAAAATTACTTTGGCAAGAAACTGTTATTATTTATAATGCAATAAAGTCAGAAATATGGCTTATCTGCTGGAAGCTTCAGTGCAAAGCTATCAGAAATGTTTTTTTTAACACGTACAACGTTAAACAAAAGTACAATAATGTGAATGATATTAATTTTTAACTCGGACAATTTTTCTAATTATTATTCATTTTCAGCACAAGAAAGCATTTCGAATGTCGTTGAAACGGTAGCAATGGTCCTTTCAGTGATATTGATGATATTGACAATGCCTCTATCATTGTTCGTCTGCTTCAAAGTCGTCTCCGAATACGAGCGTGCCGTTATTTTCCGCATGGGACGTTTAAAGTAAAGAACAAAATCTGTTTGAATCATGATTTAATCGACTAATGTGAAAATAATTGTTCCTTTCTCGACAGAATGGGTGGGGCTCGCGGACCAGGAATCTTCTTCATCTTGCCCTGTATCGATAACTACTGTAATGTGGATTTGAGAACTGTGTCATTCAATGTGCCGCCGCAGGAAGTTCTAACGCGGGACAGTGTCACTGTAGCAGTTGATGCTGTTGTGTACTACCGTATTAGTGATCCTCTCAAAGCGGTTATAAAGGTAATTCAAACATTAAAACATTGCATATTGAGATTACCATCTTATTTATCGACAAATGTTATAATTATTGCTCTATGATTCAGGTGGAAAATTATTCTCAGTCAACTGAACTTTTGGCAGCAACCACTCTGCGTAACGTGTTAGGCACGAAGAATTTATCGGAACTATTGTCCGAACGTGAAGCAATTTCACACACAATGCAATCCTCCCTTGATGATGCTACCGAACCTTGGGGAGTTCAGGTTGAGCGCGTTGAGATGAAAGACGTCCGATTGCCTGCCCAATTGCAACGGTAGGTTACATTTGAAGAAAAAAAATCATATTTATTTTTGTTGGCTTTTTGATTTCCAATTTTTGGCAATTTCTAATTTCATTTTATGTTTCGTAATGTCATTTCAGTGCTATGGCCGCCGAGGCTGAAGCTACTCGCGAAGCTCGTGCTAAGGTCATTTCAGCCGAAGGAGAAATGAAATCGTCAGTAGCATTACAAGAAGCGTCGGAAATCATGTGCAAGTCTCCAGCCGCTTTGCAGTTGCGCTATCTCCAAACATTGCACAGCATTGCCGCTGAGAAAAACTCCACGATCATATTCCCATTGCCGATTGAGATTATGCGCGGCTTCGTTGGAGGATCTAAGAGTGAATGAACATCGAACATCGAACAAGCACTTTCAACACAATGACACATTTAATATCCATTTTATCCATTTTAACTCGCTGCCCAAATCAGAAAAACATTTTTCAAGGCTCGGAACTCATTAATACACTTTTTAAAATTCATTCAAAATCATGATTAGCTTTACAATCATTTCAATATTTTATTTTCATTCAAATAAAGCACATTTTGATTTAAGCTTGATATCTCGAATCCGTACGACATCTATGCAAAGGACTCAGAATATTCCAAAGATTGAAGTGTCATTTATAGGCTAAACGAATATTTTTCAATAAAAATGTGAAAATTTCATCAAAGGCTACACATTTATTCTGTTCTATTTTCTTCTTAGATGATATGAATGCACGAGGATATTCTTGATCTGCGAAAATTTAGTTTGTTCCATAGTGTCTCGAACATTTTTATAGAAATGAAAAAGACTCAAGAGAAAGGTGAGATAAATCGTGTCTCATGATTATCTGACTTTTTGTATCCCACCTTATTCATGGGACTCTTTTATTCTAAGCAAATTTATGAGGCAATTTGGTTTTGTATTTCCTCTCGAGGTGATTTTATAATGACCAGAAATAGTCATAAGTTGCATGTTGTCAATCAATATTATTTCTTATCGAAAAAATGAAATTTTATTCTGAAATTTTGCTTTTTGGTTTTTTTTCGGCTTTTTGCAAGATTTCGGCCACATCAAGATGATCTAAATTAGAATAAAACGATATTAATTTAACAAAATATAATTAAATTTCATACAAAATTGTAAAATTTTACTATTTTCTTCGGCTATTTGACGGGGTGTTTTTTTAGCATCGTTTTGAGCAAAAACATTTGCACCTTTTTCGATAAGATATCGCACCATTCCCTCGTCGCCTGGAAAGATAATGAGATAAGCTCTAGTGGAAAGGGACACTTTTAATGGAGATGTATTAACGATTTACCATAGTTAGCTGCCCAATGAAGTGGTGACGTTTTGTCTATGGATTCAGCATTAACATTTGCTCCATGCTCAATAAGGTTTTGAAATGTTTTCATACGGCCTGAAAAGGTAATGGAAGAAATTCCAATGGAAAGAGACACTTTTAATGGAGATTTATAAACGATTTACCAAGTTTAACTGCCAAATGAAGTGGTGTCCATTTGTCTGTGGTTTCAGCATTAACATTCGCACCATGCTCAATAAGATATGGAACTAGATCCACATGGCCTGGAAATATGATGGGGGAAACTCCAAAGGAAAGGGACACTTTTAAGAGAAATGTATGAAAATTTTACCATAGCCAGCTACTGCCGAATGAAGTGGAGTCCCTTCATATTCGCCATCAGCATTCACATTTGCACCATGCTCAATAAGATAACTGACAGTTTCCACTTTGCCTAGACAGGTAGTGAGAGAAACTTCAATGCTAAGGACACTTTTAATAGGGATATATGAAAAATTTACCCCAGTGAACTGCCCGATGAAGTGGTGTACTTCTGTCTATGGCTTCAGCACTAACATTTGCACCATGCTCAATAAGATAGCGAACTATTTCGAAACGGTCTGGAAAGATAGTGAAAGAAGCTCTAGTGGAAAGGAACACTTTTAATGGATATTGTACGAAAGATTTACTATATTCAGCTGCCCAATGAAGTGGTGTCTTTTGATCGTCTGGTTCAGCATTGACATTTGCACCTTGCTCAATGAGATAACGAACTATTTCCACATCGCCTGGAAAGATAATGAGAGAAACTCCGATATAGAGGGACACTTTTGATGAAGATGTGTGAATAATTTACCAAAGTAAACTGCGAAATGAAGTGGTGTTCTTTTGTCTGAGGTTTCAGCATCAACATTTGCACCATGCTCAATGAGATAACGAACTATTTCCATACGGCCTGGAAAGAAATTCGAATAGAAATAGAAACTTTCCCATTTTTAACATGTCCGATTCTTCAACAAAATCAACAGTGTGAAATATGCTAGATTGACTATTGGTTAATTAATTGGAATATACTTTTGTACCCTGGTAGCTAATGGGTTAATACTGCACATAAAGAATGCAAACAAAATATATTATGTCTATGCATTAATAATGTCGGTTACCAGGTTACATAATAACTAGTACTATATCGCATTGGCCAATATGTTGCTACCCTTATGTTAAAGTACTATCAAAATACAATTACTTTTCCGCAAACTTTGTTAGTTAAGGAATCAAGGTTTGTATTGGTGTTACTCCCCAAAATTTCATGACATCTTCTCATACGGACCACTATAAAGTCGCGTCAAACTGCGTTTAGCACATAACTGTACACTAGGTAGTATAGATGGGAACAAATCCAACCGATGAAGACCTATCTGCCCCAAAAAACATGTTGTTTACTTCGAAAAATGTGTAAATTTGCGATGTGCGTATGGCGTCGTTCGCTATCGCGTCCGAGATTTTTGTTCGCCGGATATCGTAAACCATCCAAATTGTAACATAGTCCAAATTGTAACAATTGAACAAATAGACTAATTTTCTGCAAAACTTTGAAGGGTAACTGTTGTTTTTTATATCACATTTGAGAAGATCACGAAAAAAACTTCCGATATGAATTTATGACTTATTTGTATTTTTTCAGAAAAGTGGTTTATTTTAAGACTATGTTACAATTTGGATGGTTTACGATATCTCAAAAAGTTTACAAGATAATTGAGATCTGTAAAATCCAAAAGTTTTGACATGTTGAGAAAGCTTTGAATTGATTTTGAGCCCATTCTGACTTGCCAATTTTGTACCATAAGCCACCGACTGACGACCTGAAAACCCTTGTAAAATGACACTTTTATATGGAAAATGATCGAAATAGCGATTTTTCAAGTTTCTAGGCAATGTAAACTGCTTTTTTGGCAAAATGATCACGGATTTTCGAATGAAAAACAATAAATTTCCATCATTGTTGTCTCATATCTGCTTTTTTTCGGTAAAAATTGTGATGTTTCAACAAATAGTCGCACTCTTTGTACACAGTCAAAAATAAATGTCCACATTTAGGAGCCTCATTTAGGCGGAACTTCGACTAGTAGAGGCGCCCAGTCTTATATTTTGCCTAGCAAACGGAGTTTCAGGCGAAATACCGACTAGATTATAAGCGCCGCTTATTAAGCAGAATTTCGCCTGCACCTCAACATGTAAACACCGATATGGTGTCTGTATGAAATACTGCGTTGGTGCGTCGTACGAAAATTGTTAGATGCTACAATATGACTTGTTGCCTTTTTCACACAATCGTGAGCAGTGAGCATCACTGTGAGCAATGGCAATACAAATAACTGAATGGTTTGGAGCGAAAATGTAATGCAGAAAAGTTGAGCGGAAAAATGTCGATGATGAATGAGCGGAAAAGGGATAGCTATATAGTAAACTGTATAGTAAACTATAGTGAACTATATAGATATGCCTTTTCATTTAACATTTTTTCGCTCAATTTTTCTGTATTACATTTTCGCTCCAAACCATTCAAATAACTATTCATTTCAATACGTATTGGTCATCCTTCACTCAAGCGTCGGTTATACCGTATTACGCACGCACACTGAAGTGCGAAAGAGACAATCGATCATATTGCACTATCGTTTATCTTCTCTATTACGCATCACTATAGATGATACAGAGAGCGACAGATGTCGGAAGATATAATGAATGCGGACACTGCATTGGTGTTTGTGTATCTTTGTGGGGGAACAACGTAAAATCTGTGTAGTTGTTGATGTTTACTAAAATGAAACACGAATCGGAGCACTAAAGCGACCTCTGAAAAGATTTTTTCCATAGGGCAGAAATCGATCGGTTTTTTACGGAAGTACTTAACGTATTAGCGACTTACCCTTCAACGATGCGAAATGAAGTGCTCCCAATCCGTTGTCATCTACAGCATTCACATTTACACCCCGTTTGATAAGTGATTGAACGCCAGGTAAGTTGCCTAAATAAATGATGGATTTCATGTGTAAGACATACAGAATTAACGAGCTATTCCGTAGCTCACCATTTAACGAATATTCCCGCAATTGTCCCTCCAAACTGGATTCCAATGAAATTTGTTTAAATTCACAGTGAACACCTATGTCAAGGATACAAGCCCCCACTATAAGAATGATTGCGAATGATGGCCACATGTCTTTTGCTTCTACAACTGAACAATAAGAAAAGAATCTATGGAATTGATTGAAAAGGAAACGATTCAACGTATGATTTCTTCTATTTTTCGATTTCGTTTGGATATGTTTGGAACCAGATTGAAACCAATAATAAGCTTGACTTGAATCGGACGCTTCACTTTTTATCTGATGAATTTTTTTAGTTTTGCTGTTTTGAAATCGATATCTCCCTTTTGTCCAAAGCGAGCTTCAATTCAAATCAACTCCACGGTGATAATTCAAAACGAGCAAATAATTTACCTCAATGTAAATTCAAAACTAACTTCTGAGTTGGGTATGCACACTTCATTTATACTTTATCGTATAGCTTTGATTCATTTTTTTTTATCTCTGTGGCATACACAAATATTTCTTGGTGCGATTGGTAAATGCATGGAAATTAGACATAATCCCATGAATTCAAAGAATGATCTGACACATGCACTAGGGAAAGACACAAACTCCAGTATGTTTTCACATAGATTAAAGCAATAATGTCAAGTGCTTGTCACAAGTGTTGCCTAGTCGAAACAGATTAGTAATGAAAATAAAGTACTTAATAGATATCGATGATCTCGGCTATTTAATGACAGACAGAGCAAGCGTATAGCTATAGCTAGAAGATTATGAATGACGAAGAATTGGCCAAAATAACAACTGATCACTGATAACACAGTCCGACGCGTGTTTTTTTAAACTGGCACATGAGCCAAATAAGTGCCAGGTGATAGTTTAGGCCACCCTGAGTTTATAATGGTCCATGGTTTTAATGACTATAGGCGTTTCTGCATTTCAGGAGGAACATATTTCTTGATGAAACTCAGTTTTTACACCAATACTCGAGTAATTATCGGTTTTCTATCTATCTGTACAAGAAGCAATTTGTTCAGACGATTACGCAGAAGCGATTCTATTCTCTCAAAGCTACAATATGTTTCAGGAAATGGGTTGAAATGGGTAAAATTCGTGAAAAATGAGTAAAAATGGTCAATTTTTACACTGTAGTAACATTTACAACTTTTGAAATGTACGGTTCAATATATGAAGGTCAGATTTTAGTTGCTGGTGACCCGATATTAAGCTCATACTTCGTTTTGGTAAGTTGGTGGACTCAGTTAAAAAATAAATTTCAAATTTTTTGTCAGTGGTGTTAAAAAAATGGTTGGAAATGGCCTCTTACGATGTTTTTGTCTTCGACAACTACCATTTTTTCGTCAAAAAAATATGGGTCTCTCAACATTTGAACACCGGTTCTCCTACAAATTTGGTCCAAAATCGACATTTCTTCATAAAACTATCGATCGATTGAAAGATTGATACAAAATCACATTTATGGCGTAGAAAACCTCGTACAATGACCTATTATGGGTCTATATCCACTCAATTTTTGACTAAAAATCGTTTCAACGTTGCATTTTACACAAGTTTATCACGTAGGACGGTAGTCCGACAAGTGATGCACCATAGACTGTGTATTTCAAGCCAAATGTCAAAAATGCCAGTTTTTGCGTCACGACTATATATATAGTAAGTGTGCTATTTTCTCAGGACACTATTTGATCCCTGGCGTGTTAGGTACCGTTGGAAAGGTCTTGGCCCAAATAGTCGAAAACACCATACCCACTATGTCTCAAGTATGGTCTATACAATGGTATCCATAAATATTAACAATGTAGGTAAAATGACATTTCGCCGACCATTTTAATACAATGAAAGTAAACTGACATTTTGCCTACAATGGCAAAAACACAGTGGGTAATTTGATGTATTACACTATATGTTTTTTAGTTTGCCTCCTTTGAATTCTGAGAGCATGTATGCGTATATGAGTATTGAATTTGCGTCGTACAGGCATTTTATAATCACAAAATTTATACTTGTGTAGTTTTCTATACTGCAAACGCTTCTCCTTCATTCTTTCTATCACAGCCTGCTTCGCTTCACATGCAATGTTCTCCGCTCAGGCTCCGCCTTTTGGTTCGGTTGATTCTGCAGCCAATGTTTTATGACTATTGCAACGTTTCTTTGTACAATATTTCACATCAACATTGTGTGAAGCGTTAGCCAATTGTTGTGTTTCTATTGGCTTCACATCTGCTTTTTCCACACTTTTAACTTTGGTCTCCAATCGGACATGAGTCGAATCGAAGCCCTTGATATCAGACGATTCAACGTTCTGAAAGACATTTTTTGTGTAGCGGAACACAATCGGTTCCCCGATGATATTTTGTTGGTTTGGAATTGATACCATGAAAATTAAATCCATTGATTTGGTCTTTTCTCGAATATCCTGCATTAATTTAGAATGGGTGTCATTTGCCATGGTTGCCACAGATTCACCGTATTGAATGTAGATTATTCTGTCAAAATAGAAGCAAGAGTAAATTATTTGCAAGAAGGAAATAAAAAGTCAATTCAACGACAAGCACCGGTTCGGACATAGAAATATGTTTACCTAGATGTTTTATACTGTATAAATATGCAAAGCATAGACGCGTACGGACGACCGTGCGACGAACGTATCATCAGAGCCCACGTTGTGTACTGTATTCATACACACACTTACGCGTGCGTGTAGCAATGCACGATCGCCCGTTGATACGTTCGACGCACGGTCGTCCGCACGCGTCTATGCTTTGCATATTTATCTTGCATATTTCTATGTCCGAACCGGTGCTTGTTCAACGAAAGTATTTCGGGCCCAAAATATTTGTATGTTCGATTGTGGCCAATTCAAAAAAGTACTTGGAAATATTGAAAAAAAATCGCAATTGAATATGAAAAATAAGTAAGCAGCTATCCACTATTTACTTACTTAGGGGAGAGGTTTGTAAGTTGAACCATGATAGCTATTTTGTCCATAACTTCTTTTGGAATGAAGATATCCTGGATGTATGGATGACGTTGGAGAGAGGATCTAAAGAGCTAACACTTTGCCGAAAAGACTTATGCGATTTACTTTAAAAATACATTTTTAAGCCAATTTTCCTGAAGGCTCGAAATCGAGAAAGACACCCTAAAAAGATCACTTAAAATGTGACAAATATCAGCTAAAAACGCCTAAATTACCAAAATTTCAAATTATAGTAAGTTTTCGTATGTTTTATATGGGATTCAGATACAAATATCAGTGAAAAATTGTATGAAATGAAGAAAGACCGTAAAATAATCATCAAAATCCTAATTCCACTAAAATATAATAAAACGCTTTAAAATTTCCATTTCACACATCAGGTAATTACCAAAAAGTTATCAAAATGTGAATTCAAGTAAAAATCGATGGTATTCTAACTACATTTTTAGAAGTGGCTCAACTTACATTCCTGTAAATATTTTAAAATAGTTGAGGGAAAAAATTCCATATCACGATATGCTTAGAACTCTCTTCGGATTTTGAAAATGCAATAAAAATAGAACACAGCTATATAGTGATGGGCGATATTTACCTACCCGAATAAATACCGGGTATTTACCGGGTATTTATCGGTTATTTACCCGAATGGCTGAATAAATACTAACCAAAAATGGGTATTTATGGGTATTTTTAAAATAGGTACACTGTCAAAACTTTTCAACATTTTTGTGTTGGTATTTCTGGTAATATACGGAATTCACGGTAATCAGTGAATTTCATACTATATTACAGGATCTCCGTCAACGCAGACGTGCTGTGTGTGTATGTATTCTAACGGAGATCCGGCAATATACTATGAAATTCATGGATTACCGTGAATTCCGTATATTACCAGAAATACCAACACAAAAATGTTGAAAAGTTTTGACAGTGTAATTTCCTTGAATTTTTGTTGAATTCAAATAAGATTATTCAAATTTTGGACGTTCTTGTACGAAAAAAACCATGCATGAAACGCATTCATTCGCTATGTGTGTGGAAAATGCCAACGCAAAACGTCATCAGTCATGATTTGCACATGCAATGTTCACTTTTCATTTGGGTTTCGATTGTGCAAGCAAACCAGAAAATTAATCATGTACTGAATTTTTTGCAAAAAAGTTACAAATTCCAAAATGTGAACAAATTGGAGAATCACTTGCTCTCTTGCTTACATTGTCCCGATGCGGTTAAATCACGAATTGACCGAAAACCATCGCAAATCTTGCCGCTAACATCAACACAAGTATCGATGTAATCATCCAATATCGCTGAAAATCTGATTGACGATGACTCATCTACTTCATTCATTGTAATGTCATCACCGCAATCACGAGCTGACACACCAACTTTGATGTCATTGGAACCATTTTCAATGTTTTTCGATCGAATCTCCGATCAGGATAATGTAAGGAAAAAACATACGATATACGACAATGAATTAATTCGAGCAGTTTTCAATAAGTCATAAATTTTTTTTTAGCGAATTGAATGATTCGTTGGCTAAAGCGATTTATATTTCGGGCGCTCTCTTGGCAATGGTCAAGCATCCGCTTTGGGGAGAGTTTTTCAACAAGCTACGGTAATCGTACAATTCACCATCGAGAAAACAGATTTCTACGGTATTACTCGATTCACAGTACGAGAAAACAAAACAAATTGGTGGAAGAAGAAATAAAAAAGGCGAACGTACTCTAGGGGCTAACCACGGATTTTTTATTGACAAAATCTGTTTTTATCGCCCAATTTTAATGACATCCGTAAAAAATTGAAAAAATCTGTATATCGGCCATTCCACGAGAAATCAGGGAAGAGTTGTAATGTGAGGTCGCCGAATTGGCTGAAAATTGGCTTGGAGTCTTGTTTCCGATAGAAAAAGAGAAAACCAAAATCTCAGGCCTGTAAGTGACCCACATGTCTGAGTTCACCCAGTGTGAATTTTGGGAAAAATTGAAAAAATCGAAAAAAAAGGTTTGCGCCAACTAAAGTCTAACTATGAAGTAGTTAACACATTGCCAAACATATGGTACCGTTGGAAAAGGAATCGATGGGGCTACAAAATCCGCCTAGTAACCTATCTTCTATGGCCCCATTGGAACCTCCAAAAATGGGTTCAAAGTATAAAATGTTAAATATCTCAAAAAGTTCCAGCCTGGAACTGAGTTTTGGTGGATCCTCAGGGTCGTTCAAAACTGCTCCCGTTTCTGAAAGTGGATCCTCAGGATTGTTAAACCCAGTCTGGTCCATCCTGAAGATCCACCAAAACCCACTTCCAGAATCGGGAGCAGTTCTGAACGATCCTGAGGATGCACCAAAACCCGCTCCTAGAACAGTATGCATTCGTTAAAGCGAAAAAATTACTGCAAAAATCGGGCAAAATCGACCAAAATGTGATCATATCGGTATTTATTTGTTTAAATGATAAAAAAATGTTAAAGTCGGTCATTATTGGTTATTTTTAAAACCGTGGTTATCCCCTAGAACGTACTTCACCGAACAAATCGATTATTAATTTCGTCTTAACACAGCCGAAACCCTATTTTGTGGGTTTTGTTGCTACATACTGGTGAATATTTGGGAGCTCAAGTTTTTTCTTGCATTGGCGATAATGCACCGAATATGCAAGCTGGTTTGAGAACTGGCACCGAAAAATACCCGCAAATTTACACATTCGGTTGTGTTCCTCATTAAGCCCCCAAAGCGAATGCGGCATGATGAAACTTCAGACGAAAGTTCGGATGAAAATTAAAATGAAATATTCCTGTCTTTCATTTATATTATTACTAGCTGGACCCCGCCCGCTTCGCTGGGCATAAAGAAATGAATAATTAAGAAAATATTCACTGTTTAAGTACTGCTATTACGTGTTCAATACACTCATCAATGCAGTTCCGAAGCGTTGCCGTCAAAATGTGCGGCGTTGTTGGTTTGACGTTTGATCAGGACTATCCCTGCAAATACAGTTGCATTTTGACACTTTTCAATGTTTTGTGGTATTGAACGTAACCTCCCTTTGATTCTTCACCAAACCGGCGTTCATAGCAACTCTTCCTTATCTTAACACTTTGACGGTTCTTCACACTTTTTACCTATTTCTGTTCTTTTGGGACTCCAGAGCCCCATATGTACTTCATATGAAATCTGGACTGTGATAAGAGATAACAAAATAGTGTCTGAGGCAAAGTTGTAATACTCGAGGTTTGCTATAATTTTGCTGCAACAAATATTGCTTATCTCTTATCAGTTACGCGAAAAAATGATAAGAAAACATTCGCCCTTTTCACGGTTTTCTGCGGTTTCTCGCGTATTCCGCAAAACTGATAAGAGATAATGAGATGGTGTCTATACCAAAGTTGTAAAGTAGCTTAAGTACTACAACTTCGCAACAAGCACCAAGTCGTTATCTCTTATCAGTTACGCGAAAAGCCGCGAAAACCGTGAAAAACGCGAATTTTTTCTTATCATTCTTTCTCAAAACTGATAAAAGATAACGACTTGGTGTCTGTAGTGAAGTTGTATTACTTGACCAGAACTACAGATTTTCCAAAGACACCATCTCGTTATCTCTTATCAGTTTCGCGAAAAATGAGAAACTATGAATTCGCGTTTTTCAAGGGTTTCGCGGCTTTTCGCGTAACTGATAAGAGATAACGACTTGATGTCTACGGCGAAGTTGTAGTACATAAACTATTCTACAACACTGCCACAGACACTAAGTCGATATCTCTTATCGTAGTCCAGTTATAATATAAAATAGCCATGGGGCCCTGTGATCCCCAAAGAACAACAGCGTAACATGTTTTTCGGAAGGCTGTATTTTACACATACTCACACATATGCATATGTGTATATGTCATTCGTGTAGAGAAATGTTCAATCTATACAATGAGACTTAAATCCGGTTGGTTTATACACTGTTTAGTACTTTTATTCACCTTTGAAGTTCGCTTGGGGCCCTGGATTCCCCAAAAACCATCATAGTGTTAAAAACACTATCGACGATTTCGAACATCAAAATTGGCCGGCCTATGGCCCCGTGTTTCTGATATGCAGAGTGCACCTGCACACCCCCGATGATATACACACAGATTCGGTGTCCCCTAGAGACTCTCTTCCTCTCTCCCTCTCACGCGTTTCGCGTTCGTTTCGTTTCTATGGTCTCACTTCTGCACGCGCGCCTCTTCTTTTTCCCAACGCATTCTCTGTATATGTGACTGATGAGTTTTTAAATTTGTCTAAATATTTCAAAACAAACGATTGTAATTTCTCACAAATTCAATAACGAATTCAGAAACATAATAATATCACAAAGAATATCTGGTTTTTTGGAAAAACAGTTCGAAAAACAATAGGAAAAATATCACTTTTTTTAAGCGCTATAATTTATTTTTGGAATGTCCAAAACGCATGGTGAATAGTTATAAATGATCTACTTGAGGTCCCGAACACATCAACACTATGCTCGTATGAGCTATTTCTGAAGGGTATTTGCGCTCGGAAATGGCATCAAAAGTAAAGTTTATTTGCTTAATTGCGACGACTGTCCGAATTTTATTATATTTCGCTTTCAAAATATGAAATACCATGGGTGGTTCAACTTACAAACCTCTCCCCTACCGATAAAAACACTAAAATGCGACCACAATTCCTCACCCCAGATGTCTCAAATACAAGTGAAGGATAATGCAATCAGCGACCATTTCTTCTATTTTGATGAACTGACTACAGTATAGGGTATTTTCAACTCAATACGTAGAATTGCACAATGTTGTATATCAATTCATTAGAACGAACGCTAAATTATTATTTTCCACTTAAATCCCACTCACGATTCAGAATTTAGTTTCTTTGGCAATGTATCATCAAATCTGTGATTGTGAATATGTGCACACGTTTGTTCCCATTCCAGGCAAATACAATATTAGGGATGCGTATTGCGTAACCGCCCCACCGATCTCACATTTTGAAAGCCAAAACATCAAATTGACCACCTCCAAATGTCAAAAACCTCCAGAAAACTAGTTTCCGAGTGTAAAAACGCTTCTTAGGCTTACTCCATATGTAGAACGTTGTAGTTTGGTCAAACTTCATTATTTTTACGTATAAAAATTGTAGAATCTGCTATTAGCCAGTGGAATATTTGTGTTCGACATATTTGCCGGAAATATTGTTGATAGCTATGCTAGTTCCAAATTTATAAGTACTATTTAATCGAGCTCTTCAAGGTCATCGTCCGCTAGTTTATTTGTCAAATCATTTATCCTTCTGCAATATTTGCGCTTAAAAACCAATTGTTAGATTCCATTAACGATCATAAAGATAAATGCCAGATTCGGTATGAGGTTTTTAAATAGAATTTTTTTATTCTTTCATTTTTCTTCTATAAGAATCACTTTACAAAAAAAACTAACTTATCGGTAAGCCAATTCGAGTGGCGCGCACATACACACATTCGTTTTGGTCTTTATTTGGAAAATAAGATTGAATTCTACATCGAATAACATTTGATAACTAGAAATTCACAAAAAGATCTTAACCACTTTGAATGGGATTTCGATATTTTTTTTAAATTCCCTTTCTGAAACGCTGTGAGTAAAATACCAAGAACAAACGTGTTATTTACACCGGACAGAACAGAAAATAAAACGAGTGAGAACAATTCTATGAATATGTGATTGGCGCAAAAAATATAGGATCTTCTTCAAATTCTATAAAAAATATTTGCTGCATTTTCCGATTCTTTAATATTAAATTGAATTTACTGTAATTCCTTCCAAAAATACGATCTGCAACCTAGTTTTCTTGTGTTCCTTTTTGATTTTGACATTTTAAATGCTTTTTTATACTTTTTCATCCAAACGATAGTCAAATATTTAGAAATTCTGATGATTGCTTAATGACACTGAAGTCTGCATTAATTCAAAGCTTTGTCAAGTTTTTGTCGATCATACGTTATGATGTGAGGTTCAAACTCGACTTTTTGGTGCATTATAGCAGCGAGCACGAGTTCCGTGGAACAGATGAAACGGTTTGATTTGCCAACCTTCATTAGGTCAAGTACCAAATGGAGATCCTGCGTGCATGTCAATATGATGTAGCTATCTGGCTGTTGATTATTTGTTTGGGAAATTTGTACGGCCGTTCGACGTTTAGTTTCCACATTGCCATCACAAAACTCAATCAATTTTACGACATCTTTATGCTTGGGTCGGACACTTGGTGTTATGAAAAACGTTTTACCAGAAAACAGAGTTTTTCGTGTTGTTGATTTGATCACCTCTTGAATGTCGCACTTGTACAGTTTGCGGAACTGGTCGTCGTTCAGAGTGTATTCGTCAGGTCGAAGGAATTTACCCGCTTTTGCACTATCCACAATCCATTTGCTGCTGACAATATGATCAACTGAACACAGTGCAAGCATTAGCTTATATGTTCGTACTAAATGTGTTAGCACGAGATGTGTTGCTTTATCGGGCTCCACTATTTCGCCACCAAGCGTCCTATATAAACGAAAACCAAACTATTATCCACATAATCATATAACTTAGTGCAAATATTGACGGTCGATTCAACTCACGTGACAGCATTTTTAAGTCCATCCAAATTGTCAACTTGGGAGAAAACGATTTTAGGCACTTGTTCAGGTTTTTCATTGCACACAATTTCATCGGGAAGAATTTCCAACGGTTCATATTTACGAATTTTCTTCGGTTTTGGTTCATTTGATGCCGGTTCGTCCTGAAGCCGTTTCACCCGTTCAAACAATTCCGTCGTCAAGTTGATTGGTGATTTCCACGCATCTAAAACCAAATTGAAGTTAGTCAATGAATAGTTAGTGAATTCATGAGATTTTCTTTTTAAAAGCGAATAGGTCAACTTACTCATCAAATGTGCAACCAGCGAGTAATCGATTCGAAGTGGTTCATTGAGACTGTACTGTTGATACTTTTGTTGCTCATATTGTGACATATGGCTTAAGTTCCCTTGCAAAATGTCATTAAGCCAAACGCAATTCACCACCGGTATATTCCAATCCTTTGCTCGTTTGTATTTATTGCCTTCGGGCTTCTTACAAATCAAAACCGAATTGTGCCGCGAGAAATATGGCGTTAGCAATGCCCCCGACTCTTCAACCATTTGTTTTACACGTGAACGTTCATCACCATCAAATCCAGATACGGAGATGATGTGCTTGGTGGCGGGTCGTTGTGTACCAAATGTGCTGGGCATTGGAAGATGAAGCGCTTCGGACGGTGGTTGAACTTGAGTCCGTAGAATTGTATCGTTCAACCAATATGCGGTCACACAGCGCTTTGAATCACGCAGGGCCTGCATGACAACACCGTGCCGTTGTGTACGACAGAGAACATGTGTTACACGTGGACAATAAACGGTTTCCACGTCACCGCCATGCCGCTGAATGAGTTTTTTCCATTCCGGTATATCGGACGGATTTGATTCGTCATATTCCACAATGTAGAAAATACAGCCCGTCAAAAACATTTCGGCTGGAAGTTTCAGATTTGGATTATGACCATAGAACTGTGGTCGCGGCAACGAACGATTCGGACTGAATGGAGGCGATTTCATACCAGATGGTGACTGTAGAATCACTTGTTTACTTTTGTTCAATGGAATTTGTGGCGGTGTTCCGTCCACTGGTGATGGCTGTTGCACCATTCCAGGCACTTGAATTGGTGGCTGTTGCTGTAATTCAAAGTAAAGTTCAATGAAAATTTTCAATTTGATTGTTATTTACCGTAAAAATATGAATTATTACCGGATCGACATTCCCATCTGGGAATGGCTTCTGCGCTGTAACTATCATATTTCCTTGAGGCATCGGCTTTTGTCCGGGAGGTGTTTGCTGAATTTGAATACACTTGAATTGAGGGGTAGGAGCATTTGGATCCACTTGAAATGGTTGTTGTGGCACGGGTGAATTGAGCTGTGCAGTCATCATACGTAGCGTTCCGGCCGCTGAATGGTCTGCAATAGATTGTGCATCGGTTGCTTGCATTGGCATTCCGGCACCATTATTTCCAGTATTACTGAGCCGACTATTTAGCATGTGTGCCAAAGCAGTTTTTGTCTTGTTCATTTGCACCTGCGTCGTTGTTCCGTCAACACCCGGCTGTTGTTGCACAATTCCTTGATTTGGTTGTTGCTGCTGCTGTTGTTGCTTTTGTTTTTTAGGGAAAATAACTTTTTTAATACCATTTCTAGCGCAATGCATACTTTCAAAATGAATGAATATAAGTTTGTCTACCTGGTCAGCAGTTTCTGCGAATGGTTTTTGAATGGGTACCACCATGTTTCCTTGTGGCATCGGCTTTTGTCCAGGAGCTTGTTGGGCCTGCATGCGTTGGAATTGTGGAGGCGTATTTGGATCATGGTATTGCTGCGGAACAGGAGATTGTTGTGCTGCAATATTGCCGCCAGGACTAGCAATGGTTTGTTGGGAAATCGGACTCAGACCAGGCGCTGCACTTCGCACTAACATCGGTCTTTGTTGTTGCTGTTGCTCAAATAGATTCGAAGAAATGATTAGTTTTTTCTATGATTTCTGTGATTCGTCAAAGTATCACCCTCTGTACTACATACACTTGATTATCACTGAATGCACATTTTCTTACTATCTCGTATACATCAATATCATGTGCTAATCGCATTCATTTCAAAACTTTTGCTACTTCCAATTAACATTTTTTTGTATTGATTGGCAATTAAAAAAAAATAGAACAAGGATTAACTCGAACTTTCAAATGGCATAGTCTTTGACAGTTTTGCGTCGTATATGATTGAAATATATCTATTTGAACACATGCTACAGTGAAATATTGATTGGAGTAGATTGGTGTTTACCTGTTGCTGTATCCATTGCATTGGTGTACCAGGCATTTGGGGTCGTGCTATTACACCGGGAAGTTGGGGTCGTAGTTGACCACCAACAGCATTGCCTTGTATAAACCCTGTAGAAAAAAATATATCATTCATTAGATTCATTTATCATTCCCATATAATGAAAAAAATCGACAAACCTTGCTGTTGTTGTTGCTGCTGCTGCTGCTGTAAGAGAATGTTTCGTTTCTGTAATTTGGCCAAATATTCAGCACGTTGAACTGGTTCAAGTGTTTGTAGATGAGCATGTTGATGAGCATCCAAGTGGATCAGTTGGCGCTGTAGACTTCGTTGATTGCCAGGCCATTGTGCTCTTTAGAAGCACCAAGAAGAAAACCATTTCGATAGAATATTATTTTTTATTGGGCATAATCATAAAATCTGAAACTTACCGAGCCGCTCTAATGAATTGCGGTTGTCCGGGCACCTGTTGTCCTTGTTGCGGTGGCTTTTGCTGTTGCGGAGACAACGATTGCATTTGCATTTGCATATTACCGTGTTGTGGAGACTGACTTGGTGTGAGAACGATTTGCTGGTTTTGAACGTGCATTTTTTGCATGAGTCCTTGATTCTGCATCATTCCCTGGACCTTTGAACGAAAGGAATGTTTGTGTTATATACGAATTTTATTTTCAAATGTATGCTCTATCATTACTTGTTGAATCGGTGGAGTTTGTGATGGTTGTTGTCCTTGTGCCTGACTCGCTGTGATCATGATCGTTTGGTTATGCTGCTGAGCCATTACACCTTCTGGATGCTCAGTGTTTTGCATATTTGGAAATGCCATCTGAAATATGATAGTATTTTATCATTTGCTTTCGATTATATCATTTTGCATTGGTTCTTACTTGTTGATTTGCGCCCGGTGATTGCTGGATCAACTTTTGTTGCATATTTTGCATTTGTTGGGATGAAACATTCTACACAAAATGACGACAATTAAATCGTGGAAATCTAGCTCAATCTATATTTTTGGTAGAGTTAATTTACCTGAGTTACATCAGCGTTTTGGCCCATCGCTTGTTGTTGCTGCTGTGTTTGCTGCTGCTGCTGTTGTTGCAAATACCAGCTTGCGGGTGCTCCGGTAGGCGTTTTGACCATACGCTGATTTGGAGACTGATTCATCATTGAAGTACCTTGACTCGGAGATGTTTGCACAATAAATTGTGTTTGTTGCTAAATAAAAATCCAATTTCATTTATTATATTTTTCCGAATCGAATTGATAAAATAATTTTGTTGAATTACCTGAGGCGATTGTAATATTTGATTCTGAGGTGGCTGCTGTACAGACGAGTGAATAACAATTTGTTGACCTTGTATTTGCTGAAATTCATTTCAATACACAGAAATTTTATTATTTTTTGAAATCACGCGATTTTCTTATAATACTGATTGAAGATCAGTATAGAGTGAGGATTATCCTCTTACCATGGGCTGCTGTGATGCATTCATATTTCTTTGTTGCTGTTGAATTAAAGCTGGAAATAAAGTGATAGAGTTATTGCATAAATTAGCCTCAATCCAGTAGTATGGAGTTATTTTTTCTTCTCACACTCACCGACATTATTTCCCTGCTGCTGATTGGATGTGATAATTTGCTGTTGTCCCGACTGATTTATGAACACAACATTTTGGTTCAACATCGTTTTATTTGGCCCTGGAGACTGAACTATAAATTGTTGCGTTTGTTGCTGAAATCGGAGTCACAGAAGTTTTTGTTATTACAGTTTTAAAAAAAGCAATGAAAAGAGATTGCTAGAAACTAACACTATTCAGTATTCGGTGAATGATAGTGAATAGTATTCTCTATAGTGGAGATAATGATTGTGAGAATATCTTACCTGCATTTGTGGTTGTTGAACGTTGTGAATGACTTTCATTTGCTGTTGGTTTTGATGCACCGAATTGAAATTGGTCGGTGTTCCTGGTGGTCCAGCATTCATGAACTGTATTTGGCCGCTCTGATCAACAATCTGTTGCATTTGGTTAGCCTGATGTTGTTGCTGCTGCTGGGATTGAGATTGTTGTGGTTGTTGCTGTTGGATAGGTTGGATTTGAATTTGATTTTGTTGCTGTGTGGCAATATTTTGCACATGAGGCTGCACATTTTGTAGTCCCTGGAGTGGCATTGAAGTCATAGCTTGTTTTTGGTTCATTAATTGATTAGATTGATCGATTTTCACTTGGCCCATCATCTGCTGTGTCTGCATAATTGGTAGTTGCTGTTGCTAATATTTCAATAAAATATAGACAAATTTTTCGTTGATTTTACACGTAATCGAGATATTCAATCGAATACTCACATTCTGAAGAGATTTTTGAGGCTGAGCCACTTGGAATTGTTGGATTTGTGGATGACTTTGTTGTGTCGATTGCATTGGAACATTTGAATTATCCATTTTGAGTGGTAGTTCTAGTTGCTTTTGCAACAGCTGAGAATGAACTGGAGTCGTTGGTGTCGATGGGGTAATTGGTTTTGTCACTTGAATCATGGTCTGCTGTTGTTGTTGTAGTTGCTGTTGTTGTTGCTGTTGTTGCTGATGTTGCTGTTGTTCCTAAAATATATTTTTACATCAATAAAAAACTACAAAATATTCGACTAGATTCAGAAACATACCATCTTTTCCCGAATAGATTGTTCCATTTTGTTCGGTTGATTGGGCATTGATTGGTTCATTGTATTTCTTTGCGCAGTCTGCAAATTGTCGATTGGTTTGGATTGATGTGTTTCCGATGGTTTTGATCTGGTCTCCTCGGCAATTATCGGTGGCAATGGTGTGCTTGAAGTAGTAATTGAATTGGTTGCACTTGTTGTTGAATTGGCGATACTTTTGGTGGTCATTTGTAGCGTGGTATCCATTTGTTTTGCAAATAATTCACGCACCGATTTTGTTATTGTACGTTCTGGTTTCTTCTCTTCATCTTCCGTTCCCATGATTTCTGCCAGACTTCGATTGTCGTGTTTAACATTTTGAATGGCTGGTTTCAGTCGACGCGGATGATATGGTTTTGGATCGATCAATTTCTGTTCGTTTAGGCACTCGTAAAACCAATCGGGGGACACAATGCAGAATTTGTCCGATTTCAATTCCATTGCTTTGGTATAAACATCACCGTTCGCTCTGCCACAAACTAAGTGTGTGGTTTTTGGTGTGAAATATCTTTCGACACGTCCGCCGTGAAAAGTGATCAGTCCGTATAGTCTTTTACGATCATTAATGCCCAGTTCCGTAAAAGCAGCAACAATCGGTGTGAATAAACCATTTGGAATTGGATGATAGATTTTTGGACATACCAAACGGCCAAGTCGAACACATGCCTCCACCCATTCACCAGTCACACTTGGAATATCATAAATATCATTCGCTTCACCAATTTCTTTTTCATCGAAACCCGCACCGCACAGCAAATGTGTGATATTGGTGAACATAATTTTTGTCGAAGAAGCACCTCCATTTTCCAGCAGCTTTTGAATCTGATGAATATATATTTAGAAAAGAAAAACGAAAATCCCTCGTCAAAGTGTTATCGATTTGTTTTTGTAGCTATTCAATTAAACAAAATGTTACCTCTGGTTCAATTGTTCCGGTCACATAGTATTTCACATCCTTAAATAGGTTACTCTTTACATGCTTTTCTGTAGCTGCACTCATTTTCCCTCTCACATATACACCACTTGATTACGAACAATTCAAAAATAGAAATTCTTTTGGCTATTTATCTATCCAAAATAGCTTTACATGTAAACATTCATTTTGGTTCCGAGTCCACTCGGAGTTTTTTTTATCGAAGATTTCCTTGATTTATCCACAAAATGTTGAACAACAAATAGCTACACGACCAATTACATTGAAAGAAACTGAAACAAAATTGAATGCTAAACAAATCGAAAATGAACAAAATTCGAAACGAAAACAATGTTGCTTGGTGCACTGTGTGAGAAATGCCGCCGCCATTGAGTAGCTATTATCTTGGTTTGTGTGCCTTTTTTCATCTGTCTCTTTCGCATGAACAGTTCATTATACAGTTGGCAACAGTGGATTTCAACTGTGTTGTTATTGTTCGATTGTTTTATTTTTCATCGGAAATCTCTTATTTTAGCCACGAATATTCGGTCCATTCTACTTTGTTTTTCCATTTAAAAATACAACTTTAGATAAGAGTATTGTATTAGAAAAATTATTATTCCAAAGTCGAAAGTGCATTGCACAATGTTCCGGAAAAAAAACTACTGTAAACATTCAAATAAACGACTGTCAACGAACTGTCATCGTGTAAACAGGGGAAATGTGAACTGTCAGAACGAGTTTTTTTCTCTCATCAGTCATCGTTAAAAGTCATTCGCAAAAGTAGGGAAAAAATTGAACAAAATTTAGAATAAAATCGATCTCTGGAGACGAAAAAATGTCGGCGATTCGATTATTCTCGGTGGCTCGAAGTGGTAAGGCTTATAATTTATCAATAAAATCAGTGGAATGTGCACAGAACCAAAAATCCAATCGATCAAAGTGCATGTTAGTTTTGTTTGATTTAAGGTTAAGCGATGTTATGTCATCAGTTTGTGTTGAACGACGCAAAAATACAAATTGAACGGAATAAAATTGGATTTTATTTTCAGGATTGAGTTTCGTAAAGCCACAATTTGCCATTGCATCTAGAGGATACGTTACTGAAACAGGTCTATCAAAGCCGAGCGACAATCAAGAATTGGCAGATCCACGACGAACCGATGAGGGTTACATCTACGTAAACAATGTCGAAACTGACATGAGCTATGAGGCTTTGACCGAACGTGCGAGTTCAACCATCTTTATGACAGAGCTTATTCGTGGTATGGGCGTTGCATTAGGCCATTTCTTCAAAGAACCAGCAACAATCAATTATCCATTCGAAAAGGGTCCATTGAGCCCACGGTTCCGCGGTGAACATGCACTTCGAAGATATCCCAGCGGTGAAGAACGTTGTATCGCCTGTAAATTATGTGAAGCTATTTGTCCAGCTCAAGCCATAACCATTGAAGCTGAAGAACGATCTGATGGCAGCCGAAGAACCACAAGATACGATATTGATATGACAAAATGTATTTACTGCGGATTTTGTCAGGTTTGTTCGCTGAATTATTTCGTTTTTTGTTCTGTTTTCGTTTTCAATTTGATCGAACGGTGTAAACATGTGTTGTTATCCATCAAATTTTAGGAAGCTTGTCCCGTTGATGCTATCGTTGAAGGACCCAACTTCGAATTTTCAACAGAAACCCACGAAGAGTTGCTATACAATAAAGAAAAATTGCTTTGCAATGGAGATAAATGGGAATCAGAAATTGCTGCTAATATCTATGCCGATCATTTGTACCGCTAAAAAGGGACGGAAATGTGAAAAACCTCTATTCTGAGACGGTGAAAATCAATAAATTCTAGAATTGTTTGAAAAAAAGAAAAAGCGATTTTCGTGCACAACTACTTTATTTTCAAATTAAACATGATTAAATTAGTATTTTATTTTGGATCATGTGGTAATTTAAATCCAACCATGTCGGCCGTTTCTTCGATACTTCGTTCGCCCTTCCCCTTGTATACCGTTTGAATTTCGGCGTACTTTCTCAAACTGCGTAAATAGCACAGATAGGTTTCACCAAGGAATTTCATCTCCTCTCTTGCTTTGCAGAGCGTTTGGTCGGTTGTTTGGTGCTTCTGGAATTGATTGGTGATGTACTTAAAAGCCAACGATTCCTTGTTCAAACGACCACTCAGGCTGCTTAAGCGCAATTCATTCAATAGTGATCGATACAATTGTGAGCCAGCCATATTTTAAATCGATAACTTTTCAACTAGAGCAGTAGTGATTAATTCCAAATTGTCTGATTCGTATACTGGTTCTTCGGTCTCCTGACTCCAAAACTCGTTTGACACAGCTTCGATGGTAGGAAATTGATGTACAGAAGTATCGTTGAAGATATCTGTAAACTTGAAATCGTTTGTCAAGTCAATTTCTTCGCAATTTGGCTGAAGTTTTACGATAAATCCAGCATCGACAGATAAAAATCGACTTGGTATAGAGTTTAACAAGTTTGAAAAACTATTTCCAATATAAATCAACTGCTTCAGTACGTCGACGTTCCAATTCTTCCAGAGTAAATTGTTTATCAACTGTTTTGGACAATGTGGCGCATAAACCAAGGTCACTCCTTCTATTTCAACTTTTCCCTCAACGTTGTTCGCAGCTACCGAACAGTTTAGTGTTTTTAGAATATTCACTTCTGACCTGGATAAAATTGGCTCGTGAAATACAATCGAATTGAATCCGAAGAGTTCTTTAACTGATAAAATGAATGCCAATTGATGTCGTGATATTGAACACTCGCTAAAATGTCCAATTCCAATGCAAACGATTTGCTTTCCTTTGCTTCCAAATCGATGCAATACAGATCGAAGTTTTGCAATAGCGTTCTCGTAGTATGTTGACAATCGTAGGTCGGTTTGTGTCTCGTAAATACGCCTAAAATTATAACCAATGTTATTTAATCTAACTTGTTATACAAATATTGAGCAAGAATATACTTTATTACTGCTTCCTCATCAACAAAATCTTCTTCACTTGGTTTGAATATCGGATTTGTTTCCAATCGTTTATTCGTATGCTTTTTCGTCTTTCTGCGTTGTGATGTAACCAGCGTAAACGAATCTTCCTTTATATTTGAGTCATTTATCATACTAAATTGAACAAGCAAAATACAAAATTTATCAAATAATAGTGTGTTTAATAAAATAAAAAAAATAATGAAAATTGCTGTGCAAAAAATACAATTTTCTTGAAATATTTAGGGGAAATTTAGAAACTTCCATACACACGATGTCTTTCCTCAACATTGACAGCTCTAATGAAAGAAAATATTGTACATAACCTCATTTTGAAAATGTCAAAACTTCAATACGAACAAAATAAGAATGTGAATTAGTTATGAATTTCGAATTTTATTGATGATTTTCTTATTAAACGTCTTAAATGCTAAAATTTGTGAGGTTTTTTATTTCTTTGACATAATCATTTTATCATATATTCATTATGCAGCAGATTATTTGCATTTATTGACCAAATCCACCCAATGAGTGTTCCATGAATCTCTTCTTGGCGAAACAGGTCCACCATTTACTCGGCTTGCCATCGGGCGTGTTGAACACTTTTTCAATCAACCGGTTTCCAGTCTCTTGTCGGATTTGTGTCAAATATTGACGCAACAAGTCTGAAAAATAAAATCAAGTGGTTACTTTGATTGTTGCAAAATTAATAGATTTACTACTACGTACCAGCCTCGTTTGCTGAAGACGGTTTTGGATAAACCGAATTAAGTGGGAATCCTGCGTCTCCTGGAATATCAAAGCGACTGATAGCTAACGAATACAGTTCCTGTTGAGCCTGGCTCTTGTTGGCGCATTTTTGAAGCTTTTTCAAACATTCCGTAATGTACAACGTAATGTAAATCATCACACGATCGATTCCACTCTGTAAATATAGTGACGATTAGTTATACTGAACTGAGAGACTATCGACAAAGAGAAAAATGGTTTGTTCTCTCACCTTGATTTCATAAGTGCGGAAAAAAATGTTCGCTTTAAAATAGTAGATCGTTTCATCGATGATATCTTCACCATTGATAATTGGTGCTGGGCCCCGAGTCTGTGTACGAATTGGCAGTAAAGCGAAACTGGACAAATGATCGTCCACTTTGGGAATTTGCGAATGATAGGCCTAAGAAAATCAAAAACAGTTTAGAACAAAAAATTAGTCCATTTCTTATTCATCTTTTTTTTCAATCTCAATTTCTCTTTTTTCGGAATGAATCATTCATCGATGACACACCCCGGTTGGTCTATTTTTCTTTGTTAAAATCTATGTCATTTCACTCACTGGCATTTTTTATCAATTAAAATGTTGGCTTTTACGAACAACAGGTTTTAAAATATTTTCAAAAATTATAAATTAGTTTTATGATTTAGTTGTGAAAAAATGAATGAAAACAAATCGATCACAAATTGCACCAATGACAGTTCATGTAAACGTAAACTTGATAGCTAAATACACAGTCAGCACATATACGAGTACCAACAGAACGAACTCAAAAATGTGTTTTGCATGATTTTTTTCAAACTGTTGATATATTGCTCACTGTGTTGATAATGACAGTACGATTGATTTGATTTATTGTTAGAAATGTATTGAACGATGACAATTACTGTGGAATTGAAATGATTATTTCCGTCACTTTTACTACTTTGGAAGAAAATATCGTGTCATGACGATTATTATTTTCATGAAATCGGTAACAATGAAGTTCTGTCATTTCAAACTGGAAACCAAGCTTAACGATGAACTTTATAGCAGTTTCCTAGTGTTGCTCAGTGATACCAACGAATGTCAAACTTAACACAAACACATCGATACCATGAAAACACCGAAAAAAATTCTTCGTAGGTACAAGAAAATTTGCAGTAAAACAAAAGACCAAATAAACTTTTCGGCATTGGTGAATGAAAAGAAAAAAAAGGATAGTTGACAGTATAGTAGACTAGTACAAAAAGACACAATTGGAAACGTACTTCGTCATTGAGTCTTCTTCAAACATTTTATTTGGTGCTTGGAGTTTATATCGAGACATTTGTGGAGACGTAAATAAATAAATTAAAAGAATCAACAAGATGAGCAAGATGTCAAAGAATAAATTGAATCTAACATTGCCACCTGGTTCGGTGGATGCATCGAATCCACCAAATGTTCCAACGCCACCATTTAAGACACCATCTGGTACAGAGTGAGTTGAAAATGGCAAACCAAAAACCCGTTCACCTGCATCAATAATTGAACCATATCACTTTTCTTTGCTTGACAGTCGTTCGAACTTGCTAAATCAATCGAAGGGCAGCATTGATACCATCACACAAACCCTGGAAGAGCTTGATGTCGATGAACATGCATTGAATCGAATTAAAATATTTCTGAGCCAAAAAGAGCAGATGGGAGAAATTCGTGACGAAGATTTGGAAAAACTCGGTGAACTTGGATCGGGCAATGGAGGTGTTGTGATGAAAGTGCGTCACATTCCCACCCAGTTGATTATGGCACGAAAAATGATTCACTTGGAACTGAAACCGCCCGTTAAAAAACAAATCATTCGAGAATTAAAAGTATTACACGACTGTAATTTTCCGCATATTGTTGGCTTCTATCGTGCTTTCCAAACCGATGGTAGGATTGATTTCTTTCATTGGATTCTGTTTATTTTATTCATTTATTTATGTGTGTTTTGGTTTTTCACAGGCGAGATCAGCATATGTATGGAATACATGGATGGCGGCTCATTGGATTTGATTCTAAAGCGTGCTGGACGCATTCCCGAACCAATCCTTGGCAAAATCACATTGGCCGTCCTAAAAGGATTGAGCTACTTACGTGATAAACATGCCATTATGCATAGAGACGTCAAGCCAAGCAACATTTTGGTAAATAGCAGCGGTGAAATCAAAATCTGTGATTTCGGTGTGTCCGGGCAGTTGATTGATTCCATGGCAAATTCATTTGTTGGCACCAGAAGCTATATGTCGGTAAGTTAACCATGCATTTGCTTTGATGTAAACCAGAGAGTGTTGCCTATTGGAAGCGGGAAAACCACACTCTGTTGTAAACAGAATCATTTAGTGGAATTGTTTTTGTATGATTGCAGCCGGAACGATTGGAAGGTGGTCATTATTCGGTGCAGTCTGATATTTGGTCATTGGGATTGTCCCTTATCGAAATGGCCCTTGGCATTTATCCAATTCCACCGCCAGATCCAAAATTAGTAGACCAAATACTCAATGAAAACTCGAATCAACCGCCACCCGAACCGAAAATGATGGCCATTTTTGATCTGCTCGAATGCATCATCAATCAACCGCCTCCACGATTGGAACACAAAAGTTTTAGCCCCGAATTTACCGATTTCATTGACAAATGCTTGAAGAAGGATCCAAATGAACGTGCCGACCTCAAGACGCTTTTGGTATGTGCTGCTTATCCATATATACGTTATTTTATTTGGAACAGTGGCTCTGCCATTTGTGGTATTCTAATAAGACAGACGGAATTAACAAAAATTTCTCCCATTCGCAGGAACATCCATGGATCAAGAAATACGAGCACGAGCACGTTGACATTGCCGGATGGGTGTGTAGCACGATGAATTTACCACCATCAACCCCAAATTAGATAAGGGAATTAATTGGGTATATATATAAATATATATAAAAAAAAATAATTCAAATAGCCTCAAATCAATAGCGTCTTTTTATAATATAATTGTTTCATCCTTTGACTGCTTTAAATGTTAACAACAAAATTAGCCACAAAATCAATTATTATTGTATATCAAGTAAATTTAATTCATAAGCACATACACAAAGTGAAGAGAGAAAAAAAACAACAATATTATCAAATGCCATCCGTGATTTTAGCCCGTCATTTCAGTTTTTTTTTCAGTGTCGATAATAATAATGAACTCATTTCAATGTCGAATTTTTTTTTCTTCATATATTGAGATTACAACATTTTTAAACGATACTCAATGCATTTATTTATGGGGCTCACGATAAATGATACTCAACCGATGTGTATTTGTGGAAAATTATCATATTGAAAAACATAAACATCACTTTTCAGCAGAGAAACAGAACACTTTTGATAAACCTCTATCTGAGTTTGAGAAGAAGTAAAATTGTACTACACACGTGATTCCAGTCATATATATGAATTAGACAAAAATAATATCTGCTTTAGCCATAAAAAACAACCATTTCCACCGCAGGAGAAAAAGAATGATTTAAGAAACAATTGTATTGATATCTATTTTAATGTCTTATTTTAAGAAGTCTGTACTGCAAAAATACATATAAACGTCGAGTAATGTGAGTAATTTCATCAGATGTAATAGTCATGGTGTTTTCACTGTATGAACTGCTCCTTGTTTCGTTTTTATGTAGCCATAATACTGCTTGTTTGCAATATTCATCCCATTTGTTTATTTTTGTCCAGCGAAAGTCAACCACATCTCATTAAATAAATGTGCCTGTTTTGCAAAGTCAGCGATACTTAGCTAAAGTTCAGAAAATATTGAGAGAAAAAAACAACCTTTGCTGTTGAAAAGACGAAATGAACATTTATTTATCTTCAATTTTTGCATAACAAGTTGATGAAAAGTGTTTATTTTATCCCGAACGATTAAACTATGGCCAAATGAAAGCAATACAAAATGAATGATAAAATTTGGTGCTAAATATCCAAAATGGTGCGTATGAATACATTGTTAGTGATATGTGCTTCAATCGGTTTGATTTGCACTGTACTGCAATTCGAGCCGATCGACATATTTTTGATTTTTAAATACGCTCCTTCTTTCAAGTAAACCGTAAGTTTTGTGGCATTGGCAAGTTTGTTTCGTTGCTTTTCCAATTTGGAAAGGCTCAATTTGGAACCCGGCCTCATGGAAGCCGTATTATTGATGAATATCTTGGTGAGTTTCGGTGCGAACCGAATAAATGGCATGATAGAATCGATGAAAGTCACATCCAAGTAGGCTTCTTCCAGATTAACTAATCCATGGGCTAGTTGTGTGGCTTGCGTCAATGCTGTGATTGTCGTGTTGATAAGTTTTATATGCGAAAATGATTGTAATATCGTTGCCGTTGTCATATCTATGGCGTAAATTCCGGTCAGTTTGTTCAGCATTGGTAGATTGCTGTTCACTTGTTTTAGATCACCCATCAAAAACAACGATTGAACCGCATTCTGATCGCAAAGATCTCTCAATTGATCAAATACGGTCTCCGTACTATCTGCCGACACTTTCACAACCAACGTTTTCAACATGATATTGTGGTCTCGAATGAACGGTAAAATTGCTTGTGTTCCGTAGAAGCTATCCACGTTCGGGTTGTTCTTGAAGAAATTTATCAATTCGACTGGTAATTTACCGCACAAATCCCAATGCAAGTGTTTAAGCGTTGGGTATTGTTGTAACATCCACTCATGTTTGTGGCCGTGTGTTTTGCATTCGGTGAAAGATTTCAACGCTAAATGCTTCATATTCGAACAGTGCTTTAGGATTTCATAGAGTCCACCGGTTGATGAGCAACGCGTGAACTCAATGATATCGGCTTTTTTGATGATTCCATCGATGCATTTCGCATGTGCTTCGGTTAAATAATCCGCAGCAAAAAAGCCGATTCGTCGTAACGGTATCTTCTTGAATGTTGTTGCTGCATACTGGAGCACGTTTTTCTCAGCACCATGGAACACAATGTTATGAAATTGTTCACTAAAGCACTGCACGTATTGCTCTTTCGGATGTAACTGTACTTTTCCATTCGATGAGCTGAGGAGGACGTAGTTTGCCGGGTGTTTTCGACGAAAATAATTACTGGCTACTTGATTGATTCGTTTGCACGTCATTCCGAATGCAGCCAAAGATTTTAACGGCAACCATTCGCATATTTCGTCCAGTGTATCGTTGTTCAGTGACAAAAAGTCCGTTTTCAATTTCTTCTTTCTTTTCTTAGCTAGCGGCATCGACGGTGGAGTATTCTTCATTTTTGTAGCCAGTCTCGATGATCTCCGTTCTGGAGATGGAATGGTTTCAGATGGTTTCATCTTGCTATGGGACAAGAAAATAAAACATGTGAGCTATTTTCGAGTTGAACACAAATTTTGTTTACCACTTTTAAGATGCGAGAAAATGCAACTTACCGATTTCAACACGACGTTTACAACATTTACTTTTGTTTTATCATACTTTTACAAGTAATACGAATTTTTGCACTTTGACAATATTTCAAATCAAAAGCGTCGATTTTTTTCCCAAAAATATTCAACACAACAATAATGACAAAGAAATAAAATGAAATATTTAAGCAACAGTGGAGTTTCACATCTAACGATTTGGTTGAGAATGACCAACCATGTGATTCTACAACGCTTTTGTGTGCCGTCTTTGACAGAACAGCATGAAGTTGTCGTTTTTACTTTGGTAGTGACATTAAAAAAATGCCATTACATATGAGACCCTGATTTTATAAATGGATCATATTTTTATTATTATATCTATTAATATACTATTTGTGATCGATTTTTTATATATAGCTCTTTTGATTACAAGCGTACAATTTTGTACGGAAAAAATTCAAAAAGTTTAGTTTAGTTAGTATTGGATACCGAAAAAATGAACCGTTTTTAAAATCAGGGTCTCATCTATACTCAGCATATTTATTTGGATTTTTTGCTGATTTAAATTATTTGAAATTTTTTTAAAAAAATATTACGTTGAATCTATTGAAAATGATACAAACATGCATACGTAGAAACTAACACCATAATTTCAATTCGACAACTAAAAAATATTCAAAGAAATCATTTCCATGACGTCGTAAGAATTCACCGTCTGTATGTAAACCACATGTATTGGTATACAGCCACTTGAACAGTCTCGTTCAAAATATAGCATTAGTGTATGTGTGCGACAAAAGCCGGTGCAGAGAATGTTCAGACGAAAAATTCTGCCAAATAATGTGCATATCAATGCGAAGAGAATGTAAACAAGAGAGAATCGATGTATGGAGAAGGAGAGAAAAACACAAGTTTGATATTGATCGTATGTTATGGCTCGTATCACCATTCGTATATTTATTTCTCTTCCGTATTGAAGCCGGTATGTGATTGCTCTGCTAAAAAGAGCAAATTTATTCAACAGAGAGAGAAGACTTCGACTGCAGTGCTCTGTAATGCTTGCAATTAAATGGAAGGGAACCTTGTATTTGTTGCTATCAATTCAAAACTGCATACGAACAAAACAATGATTTTGTATGCAGTAATAACATGGTGAGTGGATTTTAATAGAATTTTATTTTATTTTCACGATAATTTGTCGTTTTTTTTAAAATATTATCGATTGATGATTTTTCAGACACTGCGGTTATTGTTACTAATTTGTGCTGTGTCACCGTTTGCGAACGGTTACAACATTTTATTTTTAACTCCTTTCAATGGGAAGAGTCATTGGATTCTGATGGAAACAATTATTGAGGCGTTGTTGAATCGACATCATGAGGTGACCACAATCACTAATTTCAAATGGAATGGTCCCAAACCAGCAAACTACACCGAAATTTTGATTGATCCACCTTTGGACTTTGAGTCATACAGTAAGTATGGGTACTATAGTGCCCATTTGTTCAACATATCCGATTCTAATATTATCAGAATACGTGTTATAACTGCTTTTTTCACTGAATTAGAATCACAAGAGGAGGTAATTAAAACAGCCGAGAAATCACCATTTGTTACTTTATCCGAATATGGTGAATTTTGCAGTATGTCAGCCGATTACGCATTATCTAGTGACAACGTTCATGAAACGAAGTGACCTAAAGTTTGAATTAATCATCAACGAGGAGTTCTTTCACGACAGTTTTCTGATTTTTGCACACAAGTACAAAGCACCAATTGTCACAATTAGTATGTAATTGACACACGTTGACCTTCAGATTTTATCATCTCAATGAATTGAATTGAATTTTATAGGCACTTACGGCACATCGGACTTTTTCGATGCACAAATGGGGCTTTTTACACCACTTTCGCAAGTTCTCCATTCGATGCTCGCCTTTAGCGACAATATAACATTCTATGAGAGACTATACAATGTAGCCCTATCAAATGCTTCGCCGATTCAGTCATCTTCCTCGACAAACAGAAGTGACAAAGAAATACTTTGCCGACTTGGAGCCATTACCAACCCTTGATGATTTGCTACAACGTATTTCAGTGATTTTGGTATACACTCACTGATTAACATCGGCGGATCGCATATCAAACTCAATATCAACGGCGCTTAGGAAAGTTTGTAAAGAGCTCACGTTTGCCAAAAGAACAGCTGGAAGCGTTTTTATGTAAGAGAACAAATTTATCTCCCATTTTCTATGCATAACCCTTATTATTTGTCCCTTTAGACTGCTTTAGGCAACTGAATTTTGAAAGTTATTGGAAGTTTGAAAAGGAAACTCTGCGCGATCTTCCACCGAATATATATTATTATTATTATCATTCGTTCCTGGCTCCCACAAAATTCTTGCTCATAAAAATGTGATTTTGTTCATTTCTCATGGCGGCGTTTTTGGATCAGTTGAATCAATTTGGAATGGTGTTCCATCATTGATAACCGCCTTCTTCGGAGATTAATATAGAAATGCCATGCGCGAGTATGTCCGGATATGCGAAATATATTCCGTTTTTCGATATTACAAATCAAACATTGATGGATTCTCTTCAAGAGGTGATTCAGAACAAGTCTTATTTACACAGAGCCTTGGAAGTGTAATCCGTTTTCAAAGTCAACTTAGTTCCACCGATGCAAGAGGCAATATTTTGGATTAAATACGCTTGCCAATTTGCTGGTGTGGCTCATCTGAAATCACATGCAACGAATATGTCTTGGTTTTTGTATTTATCGCTCGATATTCTTGGTGAGTTTTCAGTATTTGTTGTATGTGTTCTCCTTTTACTCCAGTTGATGCTTCGCAGGTGCTGTCGTCGAAATGTTGTGGAGAAGAAATCGGAGTGAAATTTTGATAATTTTCAAATGTATTGAAATGTAATAAAAAAAATTGGCTATGAATAAAAAAATCATAATTGTCCATGTTTTTTTGACAACACATTATGTTTTATTAGGAAAAAAGTTCAAAAATTTCATATAATTAGTACTTTGAAATAAGCGGTTTGTATAGTAAGTTTGATGTATACGTATACAAAAATAGAGAGCAAAAATGTTTAGTCTCTTGACAGTTCTTGACTGTCTGAATTCTTGACTGTCAAAAAATGCCATTAGTTCGTGAACGTAAATAAACAGCTGACTTATTTATATTTTAATTCTTGCGACCCTCGCATATTTAGCGTTGTTTTTTTTTTGTATGAAAAATGTAATTTATTTTAATTTTTTTAAACACTATTTATTTATTCATATTTTGCAAATAGAATTGATTAAGAAAAATTTACTTATTTCAGTGACGCAAAATGGAAGTGCCCATTGAAAGTATCAAAACTGAACCGTGCGATGTTGAATTTCAACAATTTCAGGTTGATAATATAAAATTGGAAATAAAGTCAGAAGTCGACGTAATCGAAGTAGATGAGAGCATCTTCCTGCAGGGTCTTCCTGAGCCATCGAATAACAGTGAAGAACCTAATCCTTGCAATAGAATTGAGGACGTTATCATTTACGATGAAATTATTAAAGAAGAGCCCGTATTCTATGATCCAAATGAAATTTACGCTTCACCAACCATGGAAGATACGACGAAGATGGACGAACAATCCAAGTACACATCGAATTTAGAATCGAATGTTGAAAATGAGTCGAAATCGGAGAAAACGTACGAGTGTTACATATGCAGATGTGAAACAGGAAACATCGGTTTACTTAAGTGGCATCTCCAAGAGCGACATTCACAGGAAGGGAAGTTGAAGGAACCGAGTTTGAAAGTGAAGCATTTAGAACATCCGTACACCAAAGACAGTAAATATTTACAGAAAAGAGAAAGAAAGCAACCAAAAGAGAAGCGTGAAACAAAGGAAAAGCCGTTGAAAGAGAAGAGCTTGGAAAAGAATAATTCCGAAAAAGCACCATTAAAAAAGGGGTCCATGGAAAATCGTAAATTGAAAAAATCTCAAACAGGAAAGGACAATTCGAGCGATCGAAGAACTGAAAAATCGTTTGGATGTACATTTTGTTGGCGAAAATTTGATACTTCACAACGGCTTGAGTCTCATTCGAGAATCCATACAAACCAAAAGCCATTTCAATGCTCTGTGTGCCTCAAATTTTACAATAACCATACGTCGTTCACACTGCACCAGCGGATCCATACTGGCGAAAAGCCTCATAAATGTTCCCAAAGTAATTGTGAAATGAAATTTCGGCTAAAGCCACAATTGGATCGCCATTTAAAAGCCCACGTCAATGGATCAGTCATAAAGAAGCCTAAGGATCGACGAGTCACCATAGTTGAAAATATTGCACAAGAAGAAGTTTCTTCGTTCCAGTTATACGAATGTTATTTATGTCCATTTGAAGGCCCCAAAAATCAAGTGCGAATTCACATCAAAGAAGAACATGTTGGTGAAACATTGTATAAGTGTGACATCTGCTCGAAAAGATTTCTTCTTGAGCGTTCTGTGGAGAGCCATATGATGATCCATAACAAAACCAATCGTTTTGAGTGTCACATCTGTGGTAAAATTTTGGCACGGAAAGACGCTTTAAATATTCATATTCAATATCACACAGGTGACTTCCCCTATGAGTGCAAATATTGTCCAAAGAGATTCTCCAAAGGTATATTAAATTACACAAACAAATTTCAAATTATATTTTTCATATATAATATAAATTATTTTTTTTATATTATAATTTTTCTATGTATTATGATGAAAAAATTTCTCATATTTTTAATAGCTTTTTTACCTTATCATCTTTTTTTTCTCGCCACTCGAAATTTCTCCAAAGTATACACTCTCAAAACGCACGTGAGAACACATGCTGCATTTAAGCCTTTCGAATGTGACCAACCGACGTGTAAGAAAGCATTTGTGAAGAGAAGTGACTTGGTACGCCACTCGCGAATCCATACGGGCGAAAGACCATACAAATGCGAAATTTGCCATCAAACATTCACACGCAACCATTTACTGACTGATCATAAACAAAACATGCATAAATTATGAGGCAATCAAATTATGAATAATAGTGAAAAATCGAGCACGAAATCCAAAAGAGCAAATTTTTAATAAATTTTATAAAAAAGATTTCATCAAAAATGTGTTTTAATTTTCCATCGATTTTTACTCCATTTCTCGTCTTAACTGAATTATTTCGTAGAGATTGGTTGCTCCTGAATTAAGTTTCTTACATGGAAATCGAAACGTAGTAATAAAAAGTGTGTCAGTTTCGATTTAAATCAGACAATGACCAAGCCCTTCATTATGAAACTTCTTCTACTTACCTTGTTATTTATTAATCAGTTCATTTGATGGTTTCAGGGTGTAACTCATACTTTGCTATACTAGAAAGTCACATAGATTCAAGCGCTCAACTGATGAGTGTCATTAACGAAAATTAGACGCATAAAAATGAGAGAGGAAACCACGAGAGCGCACCACCATTCGGGTTATAATGAGCACCAAATTGTTGTGGGAATCACACTTTTTGTTATACTACTCGAGACATTAGTAGTAAAGACCTCTAATCATCGCCTCTTTTGAAGATTTGTTACATCAATGTTTGTTTAGAGGCGTTTTTTTTTATTCATCAATTTTTTTCTGCTTTCCAACGGCTACATTCCAAGTAGTTGATTGAACATGATGGATTTTGTTTGAGGCGAATTTTTTTTTCTCGTTTAGTTTGAGTGATCGATGAAGTTCGTGCCATTCATGATCCATAGGCCATGCAATGTGTTTTACTGGATGAAAGTACAAAGTCGTGTAAAAATGATTAATGGCAAAAACTTCAGACAGTTGACCTCAATAGGCCGAAAAATTTGGAATATCTTATCAGTTTTTTTATAGGTTTGATACTACTCTTTTTATCTTCTTAGGTGGCTTTACAAAACAGGTTTCCCATTTTTGATAGGCAAAAAAACTCAGCTTTATGAATGAACGTAGAGCCGAAGATTCATTGAGTAGGGGAAATATAGCTATGGCACAAAATTATTTTATCGATAGTACATATATCGATTCATTACCTACCTTCTCGTCAGTTGTCTGGACAGTGAACAAGACTTCTCTTATGGAATTATTATCTAACCCAACATAACTCAGATTTTTTTTTATTGGGAAACGAAAATTCAGAAGCAGATAGGCTATTTTAAAGAGATCACCCCAAAATTCGATATATCGATTCCATATTGCTTTCGATGTTGTGTCTTACCAACACATGGAAAAAGATACGTGATCTCTGTTGAGTCTGTTTTAAAACAAGTCTCCTTCATTATACTGCCAAGTGAAGAAGAAAATGTCATTAATTTGATTCGTCGCATGGTACAGGTGATTTTTTTGGGAGGCTGAATTAATTTAAATAGATTCAATACATTTGCAATTTTAATTTCACATCGTGAACATTTGAATTTGTTTTCTACCATAAAGTTATTGTTCAATGGTCTTCTTGCGATATATTTTTGTCAACTACACTTTTTTTTAGCCCAATTCATTCTGGTTCACGAGCAATGAGCAATAAAATTCAACGAAATCTACCTCGAACAAAATTGTATTCGTATTCCATTCATTCCATTCTCACGACTCATGCTCATTCAAATTTATCAAAAACAATCGCACACCACTGAAACATTCATACGTCGCGTTTCAGCTATCAAAACTTATGACACAAGCCGAGATGACCATTGTTGTTCACTTGACTTTTTTGAAAAACGTATTTCGTTCTGACTAAACCGCCCGACGACTAAGCACTGACAGACAGTCTCTATCGCATTAGTTATTTGAGAAACAAATGAAAAGATGTTTCTTTCGACGGAACCTGAGTTCACTTCAGCAAAAAGTACTCAATTAGTTTATTACATCACGTAATGATGCGTCTCAAACCAAACCAAACCACACCGAACCCGACTCGCAAACAACCTCTAGTTGTGCGTGCCTGTGAAGCATGTTACGAATTTATATGTGAGAAACTAGAAATTTGACCATTTTCTCACGACTGAGATTTTATCGCATTGTTTTTTGAACGTGGAAGGCCTTGGAAATGTAGAGAAAAACCTATCATTCGGTCGGTTGTGGACGATCTTTGCTCATATATTCTCACTGCTTCTCTCTTCTTCACTCACTCGCTGAAGTTTTTTTTATTAAATCGATATTTTCATAGTTGGAAATTCTTATATCGATTCCCAAAGTAATGTAGTCTTGAAATTCACCTTTTGGTTAACTTACAAAACCCATGAAGCCACAAGTTGTGGCCCACAACCTCATTTCGACCTCAGGTCAATCAATTAAAAAAATCTCGAAACTCATCGGATTTACATTTGAAATTTATACAGTGATAATTGTGGCCCATTCGCAAAAGAAACAACTTAATTATTTTTCAAGTTAGGTACACAAACAATTAGCACGATCCAATCATAGACAATGAAGTGATAAATGAATATTTAAAAGCGGCTCTAATCATCTCCATCATCTGCATTTCGTTGAATAGTTCGATCGATTGGTAAATATTTGAGATGGAAACTAAAAAGCAAATAAATTGACTTTTAATTTTCTGATACAGGTTTGAGATTGTTTATTTTCATATTTCGTATTCTTGATTGTGTTATACTTCTTCAGAATTATGACTCATTTGTCATGTTTCTTTGAAACTTCAATTTGTTTTGGTAATTCTGCGATTGAAATCATAAAATCAAAATGTCAGCTTGAATTCAATAGGTATATAAACTGCTCAAAGTGTGGATTTAAACGCATATAGCTGTTCGACAGGCGTTGCAAGATTGTGCGCCTGTGGATTTTCGCTGACATTAATGTTCTATTGTGACTTCAAAACAATGGAACTGGCTATATCACGTATTTCTACCCAAAATAGTATGCAGATGATTTTAAAGTTGGACACACTTTGTTAGGAAAAGGAAATGGAAAATGTTTTGAGTTACACGATTTCTCAATTAAAGCTTTGTGCGCAATCGAAAATTGAAATATTATTTTATTTATTCCAAATTTTGAAAACTATGACAAAATCGCCAAGCCATCAGGCTTATTTACTTGACTGACGCCGATTGCAGCAGATATCACTTTTTTGTTCGGAGTACTTCAACTTTCTTGCAATTATAAATATGTTTATGAATACATCTTTAGTCTGAGTCATGAAAATGCTGATTTATCGTATTAAAGTGCAGAGTGTTTGATTGAGCCGTGAGAACAATGAGAGAATTTGCATGGCATAATGCAGATATCTGTGTTTATTTTTCACCAGAAATCTCGACGAAAAATTTGTTCATACCGCTTTTGTTCACAAAGGGAATACTATATTTTATTCACATCATTTTAATTAAAATAGACAAATTTACTGAACTTTAACAGTTTCCCATGATTGAGAACATACATTTTTTCTATATTCGTTCTGCTTGAGCCGAAGTTCACATCTTTATTTTCTTTGTTGTCTAAATAAATACGACATGGTCCGGATTCGACAAGAAATCCGAAACAAGGTCACACATTCTGTGCATAATCAAGCGAAAAAATATCAATCACAATGTATCTGTTTCCAATCCGTCCCAGAAATTGTTGACATTTTTTTTTTTCGTTTCGATTCACAGTCGTTGAATACATTTTATTGAATTGTGAAAATGAATCCATCTCATGGGGTCTATTCACAGACAAACACGCCCATTGAATTTGAATGATTTTATAGGCCATCGAAAGAGAAAAAGGTTTGAGATTAACAAAGAGCTGGATTAACACTTGAATATCAAAACAATCGATAGTTTTTTTTTTCATTCAATAGATCATAATATTTTTTTTATTATTAATTATAGCCAGTTTTTTTGTTTGTTTCTTAAGAACAAATGTTTCACTTGAAAAATCACAAAAAATAAATTTGTAAATCCAAATACGCTTTGTGTATATAGGCATATCAACTTAAATGGTTAAGGTCAGGAAAGTGTTCACTTTCCAATTTTCCTGAGTAATTCGCGACGGAAGCGCGTGAAATCGTGGTCACTTTCGATGTTGCCGAGACATTCCTTCTTCATAGCGTTGAGAACTTCTTCCAACTGTCGATTAACTTCGTCCGGTGTATCTGCTTCGCAGGCATCGTTTATTTTTTGCTCCCATAAAAATGTTGGACATACATCGAACAGGTCATCCAAATGGTCTTGATGTGAATCCAAATCGGACAAAATTTGATCGCATTTTTCATAACACTCCAACAGTATTAAGGCATTTGATTTATCACTTCGATGGCCGATTTGTAGGAACGTTTTCAGAAGTTTTTTGCTTTCTTCATTGTGCACGACACCTTTTACGTTCATCATGGCATACGATTCGATTTGTTCGTACGTTAGCTGTGAACATCCACAGAAACAACGTAGAATACGAAAATCCTTTTGCGGTGGCCTTGAATTAGCACGCACACCACCCGAAGAACTTGATTCCATGTCTAAGTCGTCATCAAAATCTTGTCGCAAATGATTCTGATAGTGTTGATGATGGTGTACACTGGCAGTCTTATCGTCACGACGATTTCCATTATTTTGTGACATTCTTATTTGATTTACAGTCACTTTTACACCAACTGATTACCACGTTTCGTAGCTAAAACTCGTACATTGTTGCGGTGACTCAACAAAACTTTGATTTCTATGCGATTAATCGATACGTACAACGCCGACTGTATATAGAGAATGTTTTCAATGTTTACGTCATTTTCATGTTTTCGTTGTTTTTTTTTGCTTTTGTTTATGAAAATTTTCTATGTTTTATTTTCGTTTTTCACTCCGACCACACATGGAGAAGTCAACTTGGTATGGTGACGGCTAACGAATCACTAAAAATAAATACCGTATTCAAATCGTCTTCACACTCGCTCTGTTCGAACGCAGCTGGCGACTTACATACAGAATGGCACAGCTAAGACGGTCACAAAAATACAAAGGCAAGTGTGCGTTTACAATGTCATGGTGTTCGGAATACATGCAGAAAAAGCGGCATTTTATACAACCCTGCGTGTAAAATACGGTGAAACAGCTATTCACAATTTCTTGTTGGACTTTGATGGAATTTATTGTTCTTACATAGAAATGGAAACCGGCAATTTTTTTAAGTCACACGACTTTCCATTAGTTTAGTTTTGTGCAAAATTATCGTTATTCCATTAGTTTCATTTGGATTTCAATTTTTCAAACCGAAAGACTCGTCGTGATATATACATGAGCCATCCAACACTCGAGTCATGAGTCATGACTTATCATATGATAAGGATAACGTATTGGATTGTGATTGTTTATATTTAGCCCGGTATTTTCAAGAAAAATATTTTCGAACACATTTATCCACGAAATGATAACAGTGTCCCACTCTCATCGATTTAACTGAAAAATGAAGCATAACCGATGATTCCGCTCAATTCCACAAGAAATAACCCACTTGACACAAAATTGTCGTTAGTTTTTGTTTCGTTCAATTAACCATTTAACTCAAATGTCGTCGGTCGAAACGATAATGTGTTACTTTCTATATTTTTCAACTAAATTACGACGGAATCGATTAAAATCATTGTTACACTCCATTTCGCGCACACACTCCGCCTTCAGAGCACTGAGTACTTCTTTCAATTGCCGATTGATTGCGTCCGGTGTATCAGCTTGACGGGCATTGTTGATTTTTTCTTCCCATGAAAAGGTTTCACAAACTTCGATTAAGTCGTCCAAATATTTTTGATTTTTCTCCAAATCGGACAAAATACGATCACAGAATTCATAACACTCCAAACGTACTAAGGCATCTGATTTATCGTGTCTGTGCCCTTTTTGTAGGAACTCTCTCAATAATTTTTTGCTGTCTTCATTTTTCAAGATGCTTTCGACTCTCTTCATGGCATGCGATTCGATCTCTCCGTTGCTTAGTTGTGAACGTTTAAGTGAAGCACAAAAGTCCTTTTGCGGTGACTTAGTACGCTTTCGTTTTGACCAAATTGCACCCATGTCTAATTCGTCATTAAAGCCTTATCGCAAATGACTTTGATAGTGTTGTTGACGTGCACCACTTATTTTCGCGATAATTGCAATTATTTTGTGGTATTTTTGTTTCATTTACTATCACTATTAAACCTACTGATAATAACGTTTCGTAACTAAAATCAATGACTAGGCATATTTATGCCATCCATGCGATCTATTGAAACGTACATCGCCGACTGTAGAAAGAATTTTCTCAAACAAATTTTTCCTTCATTTTCCGCTTTTTTTGTTCCACAAAAATATCCTATTTATTTATATTTCGTCACTTGGATCACAGGGAGAAGTCAACTTGGTGCGCTAGAGGTCTAAAAATAGACAGCGTAGTCAAAGCATCTTCACTGTCATTATTTCAAAATGCAGCTGCCGGTGTGAATGACTCGGATATACAAAGGCTATATGTGCAAATGTGTGTTTAGTGTGTAAAATACAGTTGATTGAACAACAATATTTTTCGCAAAAGATTGAAAATTCCAATGGAATTATTTTATTTTCAATGGAACAATTTTCACAACCAGATTTTTGTTTTTCAAAAACACATCAAAATAAAAACGCCACTGAAAATAATGCATACAAAATATTTAGATCATTCAGAAATGAATTGATCTATTGTCTAGATGGAAAAGCGCCTTGAAATAGACTAAATCCAATATAATGAAACCACAAATCGCAAACGATTTATTTACATTTTATTTGATTAAAGTTGAAAATATCGGAATAATGTTCTATCATTGTTTTTTGATTGTGGTTGAAATGATCAAATAAATGGAATTTTTACCATTCCTTCTATAAGAAAAAATCACTTTGAACGGAATTCCATTTCGAATCGAATGTTCATTTCTAAAGCTGTCAACCTAAATCACGTCGTGTGGCGCTGTAGTCTGTTGCACCGTCTTGCCTAGAGTGACATTTGGCTAGGCGTAGTTTTTGCGCTCTTTCGATTAACAAGCTCATTGTTAAAACTGCCGCTCAGTCAACGTTTAGACACCAAAGCGAAAGGTTCATAATTTTTAAACGTTCTTCATCAAAAAACCAGTTTAGAGTTCCATCGCAATTTAAATCGTAAGTTTAAAAAAATTTCTGTCAACGGTTTTTTTCTATTCATTCCACAATGATTTCTCTAAAGTTAAAATTGAATAATCGTGAGTGGGTTTTATCACCGTGTAACTTGTACTGAAATTCAATGTCAAATCCAGTTTTAACCAGTTTTTTGTACATTATACTTTACGGGCCATTTGAATTATTGCGATTTTTTCTTCTTCTATTTTTCGTATTGATTTTTCGCACATAAAAAAGACTTGCAACGCACTAGTTGGTAATAATAAGTTCTAATAGGCCTGTTGCTATTTTTCTGACATTTTTTTTCACAAGCAATATGTTACGGTATGTTATCGAATTTTCATCGTGTTTTTTTTTCTTCTTTCCATTCGCAAACAATGCACAATGGTTAACGGTAAATTCAATTATATGTGGTGGCCTGAATTTGGCGATTTTCACATGAATATTGTTTTCATTCTTTTATTCATAACGGGTGGTGTGAAATACCATTAGACACCGAAAATTGTTGTACATGTTCCCATTTCGGTGGCTTTTTCCATATTTAGATGCCAAATTTAGGTTTCGTCTTCACCCATTATTCGCTATTAGCACAAAGATAAGTGTATGCGTGCATGTTACTTATTTCCTCTCAACATTCGGAGTTTGCTACTGCTTTTTTCTTGTTGAATATTTCTCTTTCTCTATTGCGACTACAGTAATGTAGCGATGATTTATTCATCGCAGATTGTTAGATTGTGATTTTCATGTGACGGCACATTGAGCGTGTGCTTGTGTGTGTGTGTGTGTGTGTGCGTTCGCGTTAAAGTTCAATTACATTTCGGTTTTGCAGTCATGCTATACACACGCTATGTAACATTCAAGAGACTCAGTGACGACGACGACAACGCTCAATTCATTTCAGTCATTGCGGCTTAACGGCATCGTGGCACTGATTTATTGTAATAATTGGCCTTTCTTTCTTTCTTTCTTTCAGACGAACGTTGTTTTATTTTTCTCTCGCTCTTTGCACGAAAAAAACGCTAAAAATGACTTCGACATCATTCAATGTTGGCATGAGCAGTGACCGTAGTTCCAGCCGTGTATTGAAGCCTCCAGGCGGTGGTCACACAAGCATATTTGGAGAATCGGAAGTTAAGGTGAACAGCCCACGACCAAAGTATGATCAACAAAATTCATCGAATTTGAATTTCTGCATGAATACCACCGATGCAAACGTATTGGTCGAGCAAGTTAAACATGAGATCGAACCGAAGCCCGCGGAAGCAAAACCAGCAACGCCGGTGGCCCCACCCAACAGCATTCAATTCAGCGATTCGGCTGAGCAAGCATCGCTACCAAACCGAGGTAGTCGCGTTCCACCAGGAGGTTTCTCCAGCGGTGGCTTCTGGTAAACATCCATTCATTCGTATCTCACACCAATATTCTTCTTTCCGCAAAAAAAAAACAAGAACCCATTTTTGACGGCTACTTAAATTTTTTTCTTACTCATATCTTAAGACATACAAACTAACGTGACTTAGATCATTAATCTGTAAGTTGAATAGGTTTTTTTTTGGTGCGCAATCGAAATACTATACAATTAATCGTGAGTTTATTTCCATTGCTTCGTTGTAACAATATCGCTCTCTTTTAAGACAACTACCAGTACTTTCAAACGCTCCCTTGAATTCGTTCAAGTTGTTGTTTTTTTTCGTATATTCCTGTTTTTTCGTAATGGCTTACATAAGATGTCCAGAATTTATTGATCAAATATCCAAAATGTTTTCGATAGTTACTTGACTTGTACTGCGTTTTAAGTGATACCAACCAAATTTTTCATTCAAATATGCGATTGTATTCAATCAAAATACATTAAAAAGAGATATTCCGGCTAACCAACAAATCCACTGTTGTTTTCAATTTATTTATTTTTTTATTCTTGCGAAGAGAAATGTTGGCGAAGAGAAATGTTGATCTGAAAAAGGTAATCTGAATCAGCAATATCGTTTTAAACCCGCTTCCACTTCGCTCTGATGATTTATGCGTTTATTTTCTGCTCTCTGATGACTTCACCATGTTACAAGCACTCATGTGAAGACTAGCAACGAAACAATGAGTAAACACGTTTGTGTTTTTAGACTTTCAACAAATAAATTGATTTCTATGGTGAAAAAAAATAAATTGTATTGATTTAGGTATGAATCATTCCGATCGGCGCCATTAAACAAGTGAATCTATGTGATTTCGAACCGATTTGAGTTATTGCATTCAATGACAACTTCTCCAATAAAATGGAAGAACTTTTTGTTTTTAGAAAATAATAAAGTTGTCGCTTGATAGGCTTTCCACTTGTTTCCCAAAGCAACTGCCTTGATTGAATAATATTGTATCGAACTGGAAAAAAGTGAAACAAATTTAATTGCGATCACACATGTCTTGTTGCATATCCATAAAAAAACAAGACCCGAAAGTAGAAACAGAGCAGAAAAACGTTGCAAAAACTATTTGAATTGTGTGGTTCGTGGGAAAAATGGCTAGCGTCATTTAAAATGATAAGATTCGCTTTCATTCCACTACGAGTAGAAAGAAGAAGAAGTAGTAATGCAACCGAAACTAAGCCGTCGTTGATAAAACAACAACAACAACCATCCGTCGCTTGGTTGCGGCAAAACACGAAAGCCAGTTTAATCCGGCTTCGAATGAGTTTTTTTTCCTGTTGCTGTCTACCTCTGCTTGCTATGTTTGCTTTGCTATTTGTTTCAGCGCATGCAAAATCAGTCGGCTTTCGCCATTTCCACTGATCGGACAAGAGAGGAGAGAAAAAACGCACACGCAAACTATTGTTGTGATTAATAAGTAGCCACTCAGTCGTGTGCCACAATATGAATGCTCTCTGTCCAATGTTATTTTTAGTCAGTTCCATGAGATTGTTGCACAATGCACAGGCATACGTAGTGTGTTTAATTTTCGATGTCACCTGTCCACTGCTTGGACATTGTTTGTTTTTTTTTTGTTACTCGTATTGAATTTATGTAACCCAGTATTGTTGAATAATTTCGCCAATGTTTTCTTCTATTCTATAATCATGCATAACGTGCGGTCAACTCTGGACAGATCAAATGATTTATTTCAATAATCAAATATTATCATTCTATTTTCAAAAGTCGATCAGATAGAAAAAAATACACCACAAAAATATTTCATCGTTGACTAATAGAATGTACACTGTACATTGTACAGGTACACTGTACGGATTATTTTGACTTGTTATGATTTGGACTGACTTATTAATCCTGAAATGTAAACAATGTCAAGCATTCATGACAAAAACATGAGTTAAACTAAAAATAACACGAACTTTCCGGCGATGCTAGTTGAACGGAGAAAAAAGACTTTTTTTTTTCAAAACTCCAATTTTTTTTTTGCTAAGTTGTTTGAGTAGATCAAAAAATTATTTTAAGGTCTAATTACATCGTGTGTATTTTAAAACATTAAATGGACTTCGTTCTTTTCAACACTTTTTTTCCTCATAATTTTAAATCCTCGGATACGCATAGATGAATAGATATAGAGTTAGAAATGTAAGATGAAACTAAAGGTAGACTTTCTTTGCGTTCGAAAGATATTTTCTAATAATTTACAGTTGCACGTTTATAATTGTCACGATGGGCGTGGAGCCAGTATTTACTTTTTTCTGCTGATGAAAGGCATTCCATAAAAAATGAAATGAAGGGAAAAAAATCATCGCATTACGAAATGTTTAATTAGGAATTAATTGCGTTTTGCGAGTCTTAGCTGACACACTGGAAGCAACAGCGGAATATACTCCATGCTTTCAAATTTGCAATAGAAGAAAACTGAGCAGAAAATAAAACGTAGGCTTTTTAATCCGATCTTTTTTTCAGTTAGAGATCGGGTAAAAGATTGACAGCTTTGTTTTTAATTGCTTTTTGCAATCTGTAGCTTAAAAAATTTATTTTCTTTTTTCGTTCGATGTTTGAATTATTCTTGGAATTAAATACAACGTTTCATTATACCCAGGTCTGTGCACTCTGTTATAATACTGTATTTTTCCGTTCGTGATAAAAAAAATACATACATCGATAGGTAAACAATGAAAGCGTCACACTTTTTATGGCTCACTCTTTTTTAACTAGCGGTTCTTTGTTAGTTTTTTCATTGAGGCCACAAAAAAATCCGCAAATCACCCATCATTTTGACACGGCAACATATTTTATCTGAACTAGCGATCCAGCAATTTGGGCAACAAATCATTCTCATTAGAAATTCACGGGCGCTCAAAATAATTACCAAAGTCAATCTGGGTTGAACTGTTTCTCATATACTTTAGTTTGGGTTTAGGAAGAAATATTCATTTCTCCAACTAAGAAATTCACTCAAACCAGAGGTATTATTGGCCAATAATTAGACATATCGCTTCAAGCTGACCCTAATTATTACGGCAGGTGCTTCATTTACTATTCATGATTTACCTCGCAGCGAAAAAAAGCAAATGTACGAATGATGAGGTCCCGAAACGACAAACAACTCGCCGATGAATGACTTCATCGATCAAGCTTTAACTAAAAATGAATGACATACAAATGGAGACGTTTGTGGGTGTACAAACATTGGTTAGTATTTTTTCTGTTGTTGTTCAAGGAACATTGGCAAATTAGTTCAAACTATCGGAATTTAATGTAAATTTCACGAAGATTTGTTTACGTTAAGGCCGTTTGACCATTTGAAGATTAAAAACACTTGAGAAAATAGGCAAATATTCACGCACACAAAATAAAGTGAAATACAAATTGAAAAAAAATTAATTAAATTTGTTTATGACTTTAATTCAATAAAGTTTTATGACTTTTTTCCTCCATATTCTGTAATCATTTGAAATTTAAATATACACGCCGAAATGCGGGTTCATTTGGATCGTGAACAAAACCCAAAGTAAAAGTAAATATAAATATAACTTCAACTTCAACATGATATATACCGTATCTTGATTGTTTTTTTTTTCGGCGTGTGGAAATGAAAGTAAAATTTTAGTTGCATCGTATATCATCGTTTACAGCTTCTGCTTCTGCTACTGTTTCTATTTTCCCATTTATTAGCCTTAGCTATATGAACTACAACGCGTCGTACATGCATTCAACTGAATTACAGTTATACTACGAGTGCGCATCTTTCATCTCTATAAATAGATCAATGCGCTATTCCATTCGATCGCCAAGCGTAAGATATACAATAGATGTATTTCCTCAATGAATCACACTTTCCGAAATACTAGATTATACGTTTATACTTTTTCCTGCACGTACATCAAGTGTTTCTTCTAAGTACGGCAAATGTTTTATCAGTTGAAAATTTCATCTAGTATCAGCGCACAGAGCATATATGAAATAATCAAACAATAATGTTTTCGGTTGGTATCAAACCGTAAGTTCAATAAAACCATTGAACCGATCATTATATTGAGCTCAATAACTCAATAACTCAATACTTTCTGCATATTTAGTGTGCGGAAAACTTAAAGAGAAAAAAATACGAGCAAGAAACAGATGAGATTTTGGAAATCGATGTAATTACAACTGTTCCGGTACTATAAATAACAACAGTCAGACGATATTGAAGAATAATTTTTTGGATGAAATTGATGGAAAAAGCAACAATAATCAAATGATGTAAAAAGTAGAAAATCATCTGTTTGACGTTTGAATAAGAAAAAAATACACCAGGCAATATAATATTGTATGCGTGAAAAAGTAAATATTTACAATAATTGCGAAGAAGATGGTATTTGAACAATTCATAAAAAGAAAGCGAAACCGCAACAATGGAGCCATTTCGATCGGACTATTAATAACACCGTGTAACAAATTTCAACTTTTTCTTCTGCACATGAGAAATTCCGATTGCTTGTTTTAGAGGACCAAAAACCAAGCACTTTTGCATCATTAGTTTGTTCGAAACCACGTCTAGACTTTTTTTTATCGACACATATAAGACAAATTTCAGGCCAAAATGAGCAAATCACAAACATGAGCTTCGGTTTGACAGGTAAAAGCAAATAATTTCTAAATTTTCTGCCTTTCAACATCTAGTATGATCCTTTACAAACATTTTGGATACTTACATGACCAAATCGAGTGATGTTTTCACATATTTCTGGCCGCATATTTGGTTGGTTCGAATTCGACTCTGAAAGAATCGACTTTTGGCCAAAAATCCTTAAGTATAGGCTTTTCAGGGATGGTCTCTTGGCGCAAAGTTATTTTTTCTCGAAAATATGGGAAGTCTACCCAGACAAAAACTCTCAAAATTGACTTTTCGAGGTACCTCCCGAACAAAAGTTACGTTTTTCATGCATTTTGCTATGAAAATAACATTTTTTGTTCGGGAGGTACCCCAAAAATACACTATTTGGATGAGTTTCTTAGTAAAAAATTAATTTTTTCGAGAAATATTGGGAATCTCCCCACACAGAATCTCTTATAAATGATTTTTGGGGTACCTCCCGAACAAAAAATGATATTTTCATAGCAAAATGCATTAAAAACGTAACTTTTGTTCAGAAGATACCTCGAAAAGTCAATTTTGAGAGATTTGGTCTGGGTAGACTCCCCATATTTTCGAGAAAAAATAACTTTGCGCTAAGATACTATCCCTGAAAAGCCTATATTTAAGGATTTTTGGCCAAAAGTCGATTCTTTCAGAGTTGAATTCGAACCAACCAAATATGCGGCCAGAAATATGTGAAAACATCACTCGATTTGGTCATGTAAGTACCCAAAATGTTTGTAAAGGATCATACTAGTTGTTCAAAGGCAGAAAAGGTAGAAATCATTTGCCTTTACCTGTCAAATCGATGCTTATGTTTGTGATTTGCTCATTTTGACCTGAAATTTGTCTTATATTGTCGATAAAAAAAAATCTAGACGTGGTTTCGAACAAACTAATGATGCAAAGGTGCTTGGTTTTTGGTCCTCTAAAACAAGCAATCGGAATTTCTCATGTGCAGAAACATGTGTTGCACGGTGATAATAGGTATATAAGTCTAAATCGATGAATTTGTAGAAGAAATATTATGGAGAAAAAAAAACAATGCATGAATCATACCGATAGACAAATTGTCGGCGAAATAAAATGAAGTAGAAATAAACATACACAACAAAAGAAGGAGAGCAGTGCCATCTGTTGTGCTCAACTGTGAATCAGAAATGAAATCGTATGCAGACAGTTCGTCGATGTGCTCTATGCAGAGGTTTGTGATAAAACGTCGAGAGAGAGAGAACATTGACAGTGTTACTCTCTTTGAACAGAGACACAAGTATGGTATCACACTAGTTGTCTCACTTTACGATATGGGTTTATTTACGTGAATACGTCGTCGAAAAACTGCAACAACACTCTCTGCAGAGAGAATTGAACCATCAAAACAAAAACACATACTCACTCTTTTTTTGGCATTTAGATGAAATCTCAATTTATAAAAGTGGATGAGTACACATTTTGTATGAAAATTAGTTCTGTGAAATCCATTGACACAATTCACACACAACAAAAATGGATCTTCAAGACGCTGACGGAATTGATTCGGATAAATTTGTGATATTTCAACAAGATGATTTACATATTGAAAGTTTTCCTTTGATGAAAGAAATTCGACGCCAAGGCAAGCTTTGTGACGTCACGCTTAAGGTGAGAAAATTTCAGATTTCCATCGATTTTATTATAAATCTTGCGATGTAGTGATATGTGGAAGGATTAACTCTGTTTATATTTGCAACAAAAGGTGGAAGACCAATCATTCTCTGCCCATCGAATTGTTTTGGCTGCTACTATCCCATATTTCTATGCCATGTTCACACATGATATGGCTGAGAGTCGTGTTAAGGAGATTACAATGAAAGAAATAGATCCACAGTAAATAGAATGCCTTTGTAACATTGCTTTGTTACAATATAATGACTTTGTTACAACGTTTTAAGCTTCATTTCATTTTCAGAGCACTGGAGAGTCTGATTAATTTTGCCTACAGTGGAACTGTTAAAATTGACAATCAAAATGTTCAAATGCTGATGGTTGGGGCAGCTTTTCTCCAATTAAACAAAGTCCGAGATGCATGTGCCGATTTTTTAGTGTCAAGGTAAGAGTTAGTTTTGATATAGAGATAATATACTGGACACGAATAATAACCGCAATTGCTTTGCTCGCTGTAGATTTCATTCACATAATGTGTTGGGTATAAGACAATTTGCCGACTCCTTGGGATGTTCGCAATTGGTATCAGAAGCTGAGAATTATATACATACGAACTTTTCAAAGGTGTCCCAATCCGATGAATTTCTAAATTTATGTAAGATTTTTTTGTGTACATTTGCATGCATGCTATTCCAAATCCCACCAAACAATGATTACAATTACAGCGTTCGATGAGCTCATCGACATCATTCGACGGGACGAATTGAATGTACGCAATGAAGAGAATATTTTTGAAGCCTGTATGCGATGGATAAAATGGAACGAAAGTAGAACATCAATGCTGCCTCAAGTTCTATCAAAAGTCAGGTTACCGTTGCTCACGCCACAATTTCTTGCTGATCGTGTGGCAACGGAAGACTTAATTCGCACATCACATCAATGCCGAGATTTATTAGACGAAGCTAAGGATTTTCATTTGATGCCTGAACGACGGGCACTAGTACAGAGTTTTCGTACAAGGCCCAGATGCTATGGAACGACAATCGGACAAATTTTCGCCGTCGGTGGACTTACAAAGAATGGTGATTCCGTGAGTACGGTGGAGATTTACGACCCATTGACCAAAGAATGGAAGATGGGCGAAGCGATGTCGATGTTACGTTCACGTGTTGGTGTTGCGGTGAGAAAATTATCAATATTATGAATTCCAAGCATACTATCCCTGCACCTAATTCAATGACTACTATTGGTTGCTTTAGGTCACCGGCGGAAAACTCTATGCTTTTGGTGGTTTCAATGGGAGTGAACGATTGTCAACCGTCGAAGTGTATGACCCAAAAACGAAGATATGGTCACAAGGAAAGGCCATGCAATGTAGAAGAAGCGCAGTCGGCGTGGCAGCTTTAGACGATCGCGTTTAGTAAGTTTATTTTTGTGTTTTTATTCTAACTTTGAACGATTTGTGTGCTCAAAACAATGTGTAAACATTTTCAGTATTTGTGGCGGATATGATGGAATCACATCCCTTAGCACGGTTGAAGTGGTAAAGTTTAAAGTTTTTTTAAACGTTAAAGTTAAAAGTATTCACGAAAAATTCTCGTTTTTAAAGTATTCACCCAAAACTGACTCATGGTCAACGGTTGCGCCAATGATGAAGTATCGTTCGGCTGGTGGTGTAGCTGCCTTAGGAAAATATGTCTATGCTTTGGGCGGTCACGACGGTCTATCAATCTTTGACTCGGTGGAGCGGTTTGATTCAAATACCAATACTTGGATGAAAGTTAGCCCTATGCTGAATCGTCGCTGCCGCTTAGGTGTAGCAACACTTAATGACAAATTATACGCGTGTGGCGGCTATGACGGCACCTGCTTTTTGAAGAGGTTACATAAACTTGAAATTCTCTGCAAATTCTTTCTTTATTCTATGTTATTCAATTCTTAACCGTTCTCTTTACAGCGTCGAAGAGTATTCTCCGGATAGGGACGAATGGCGATTAGTGGCCCCTATGAATGTGAAACGAAGTAGAGTAGCATTGTGCTCAAATATGGGAAAATTATGGGCGATTGGAGGTAGACATTTTATTTTTAATTGTTATTCTAAATTACATAGATTTTTTCGGGTAACAATTTAAAAAAAAAGGTGCTCGTTTCAACATTAGATCATTTATGAATTAAAATAATTATTTCGTTTTAATAGGTTACGACGGAGAAAGCAATCTATCGACTGTAAGTGCAAATATGCAAAAACAATATTGATCTCTTCATTATTACAATTATGTGATTTTAATCATAGGTCGAGGTGTATTGTCCGATCAAAAACGAATGGACATTTGTTGCACCCATGTGTGCACATGGGGGAGGTGTAGGCGTGGGCGTCATACCTATTTCATAAGAGAAACTTTAGACGGAACAAAATCGTGATCGGCAGCTATTTGTCTAATTACTTAAAGTATTCATTCGTATACTTTGTATCGTAATCATATCTGCATTTATAGTTCTTACCCTTCACACAGCTCATATGTCACTCTTTTGTATGAGAACCCAGTAAAATTTGTTAAGTTTAAGTTAATTTCACATCTTGCTCTCAGAATTCAAAGGAGGCAAACTAAAAAACATACAGTGTAAAACATCAAATTACCCACTGTGTTTTCGCCATTGTAGGCAAAATATCAGTTGACCTTCATTGTATTAAAAATGTAGGTAAAATGACATTTCGCCGACAATCCGAATTTGAATCCGAATTTAGTTGAAATTGTGTGGTTTTATTTATTTTTTCTTTTGCAGTATCATTTTTAGTAGCACACAGCAACACGAGTTTTATTTGTGACACATGAATTTCATGACATGAAGCTAAAAAAAAACAGTACTAGTATAGATCGAATTGTAGATACTTTTCTGAAAACAAATTATTTGCTTAGTCAGAGCCCCACCATCATTTAAAGTGAAGTAATTCGGTTTGTGATAATAAACAGCTGACATTCCATTTTATGGTTCTCATCATTGAATTACTTACACTATGATAACATTTTTATGGTGATTCCTGTAATAATTGGTGTTAATTAGCTTTTTTTCGTTATTTACAAAAGGTAACAATAACAATTGTCAATCATATCTGAATGATAACAATATCAACTAATCAAAAATGATAAACCGACCTGGTAAAAATTCATAAGAGATTTTTACATTTAGTTCGTATCATATAAAGCAGCTTGAAACAAGCGTGATAAACTTACATGCAGACGTTAAAAATTAGCATTTTCTTATAATATTAAAAGAAACGATTGAAATTTTTTAAGCGAGAAAATCCAAAATGCAAATATTTAAAAAATAAAAAGTTTATTCGATAAACAAGTTTGAAAGAACGGAGAAAAATGATCGAAATATAAATAAGACGAGAAAATCAGGTTAAGGCCAGTTGCGGTTTCCTTTATTCTTCGAAAGATTGTCTGAATAAACCATACATTTTACGAGTTTGGTGCAGTTGATCAAATAATGCAATTGATTTAAATTAAATGTTATTCACTAAATAAAAGACCAGTAGACACACAATCGTCACAGAGATGAGTTGCTTACAAATAACATTGTTCATGTGCATTCTGTGCACAAAATACTTATTGGGTGACATAAACTTCGATACATTAAACGTGTTGATGGAGAGTGTGCAAAAGAATTTTAATGAAATTGATCCAGTAAGAGTTTACATTTTTGATTCATTCAACAATAAGCATAATACTTTGTAAAAGATTAAAAAAATTAAAATAATTTCTGCGGAATAATAAAAACTATATATTGTTCTCCATTCTTGTTTTCATTAAAATATTTCTTTTAAATAGAATATCGAACGTAATCATAATGCCCTGAAACGTCTGGCTGTAGTAAATTTGCCAAAATATGGAATACTACAGGGATCAGTAGATTTTACGGCTTGGACGCAACGAAATATTTATCAATTTTTGAATGTACCATACGCCGAATCACCTAGTGGAAATAGACGATTTAAGGTGGGTACAACAATTTTTTTCTCTCCTTTTGTTTCCATGTTGATCTCATTTGTTTAAAATGGTGAAATGTGAATTATAAAAAATACTGCTACAAAACCCATTGCTAGGCACCGGTCCCTATCAAACCATGGAATGGAGTGCGGAATGCCGAAACTTATGGCACAAAATGTCCAACTTTACACGATTTGAATGAGATGGCACCAAGCGAGCGTGAAAAGAAAGACTTGGAAGATTGCTTGAATATGGCAATTTACACTACAAATGTATTGACAGTTTTGATTAATTCAAATTATGAAAAAACGACAAAATATTATAAGAAAAAATTCAAATATTATTTAAAAAACGATAACTATTTCTTAGTTGAATGCTTCACTTCCTGTAATGGTCTATATTCATGGCGGGGGCTTTTACCTCCATAGCGCCAAAGAATTTCCACCAAACTATCTAATGGAACGGGATATTGTTCTAGTGGTTATCCAATATCGTTTGGATATTCTTGGTATGTTTTTATGTGTGAACATCTGGAGGAGATCTTTGAAATATTGTTCTATGTTCTCCAATTTAGGATTCCTGTCAACAAACTCAAAAGAAATTCCCGGCAACGCAGGTTTAATGGATTCGATACAGGCATTGCAATTCATAAAGGAAAATATAAAATATTTTGGTGGAGATCCGAATAAAATAACGATCTTTGGCCAATCAAGTGGTGCTGCAATGGTGTCGACACTGCTTGTCAGTCCAACCGTTCCACAGGATCTCTTTCACAAAGCTATTATCCAATCAGGCTCAATTTTTGGGAAATGGGCATACACGATCGATCCCGTAACTGATGCCAGGAACATTGCTCAAGCAGCTGGATTAAATCCAAATCAATCGCTATCATCTCTCAATCGAGCATTCATGACGATGACTGTACACGAATTGCTGAAAGCTGTCGATAAATATCAGGTTCTATTCGTTGAACAATATGACTTCACAAAATAGTGTATCAACCAAAAATACTCATCACTAATTTCAAATAATGCAGATGAACGGTTTGCTTGACGGAAAAGTTTTGTCTGGAGGACGATCAATATCAATCGGTGGACCAAATAACTTACTATCGGATACACCACAAAACTTCGTTTTATCAGGAAGCTATAATAAATCGATTCCGATTATCGTTGGAACAACCAAAGATGATGGAGATTACGTTGCAACAGGTGAGTTATTAAGTTCATCAACTCTGTCAAAGATATTTTCTCCTAAAATTCCATCAATTTTTCTAGTTGCATACGATATTCTGGCCGCCAGCAACAAGTTGAGTGACAAAACCTTTATGTCAAATGATTTAATTAACGCACTTTGTCGGATGGCAGGTTTGTAGTCTCTTTACACGTGTAAAAATATTTAAATGAATATCTGAATGAAATCAATAGGAATCGATGATGAAAGTGGTGTACTTGAAGCATTAGCATCTTCTATTTACTGGACGCAAGAACAGATTTTATCGGCAGATTTTGGTGTTTGTTCGCATGGCATTATCGATGTAAGTGTATGATAATTTTGATTGAATATGTTATTTACTGTATCAATTTGATGCTATAGATGCTAGGAACGGTCATCTTTAAAGCACCGGCTCTACAATTGGCCCAAACAAATTCACGAATGAATCCACTTGGAACATTCGTATACACATTAGATTATAAAGGCCAGTATACAAGGTAAAGAGACCACTTTCTGCAATAAAATTAAATGCTAATTCATTTGTATTATAAATAGATTCGGTTATGGAGGTGACGTATCACATTACCCATTCAATGGCGGCGTTTCCCATTCGGATGACCTGATTTATCTGTTCCCATATCCACCTGAAGTGGCTCAATTAAATGAAGACGACACAAAAATAGCAAAGATTTTGGTCGATTTGTGGACATCATTCGCAATAAACGGAACTCCAGATTTATCCAATAGCAAAGAAGGTATTAACGAAGTGTCTTGGCAACCGTTTTTAGGTAAGTTTTGAATGAAATTAACTAATTTATTTATTGATCATTTACCGATTATATAATAATTATTTAAATTTATTTCATTCAAACTAGGTCCTTTGGGTGCGTATCTTCATATCGGAAAGGAATTACAAATCGATAATGATTACCGTAACGAATTCACCGCCTTAACTCGAAACTAACAACGTTTATTGTCATTGTGAATCATTTTGATTTAATTTCAAACGTTCAGTACCTATTAATGTTCAAAAGATAGAGTTTTGAAATTGAAAATTTTAAATGGATAATTATTAAATTCTTATGTTCAATGCTCATAAATAATTTCAAATAAAATCTTTTCACTTTTCAAACTATGTTTTATCATCAGCGCCAAAGACATTCAAACGTCATCCACATGGTGACCTAACCTAAATTCAACAACGAAAAAAATATCAACTTGACAGCTCTTTCGGTAAATGTCAGAATTCAAAGCAAGTGCGACGAGTTTAACATAAATAATTTCGCAATTGTTTCGTTTTGTGTGTTTAGATATTCATTCAGCTAGTTTTTTTTATGTTGGTAAGTTATTGCAACTATAATAAATCATCAAATATTGTGATCATATTTTGTTTGCAGTGATCGTCAGTTTTGAAGGTAAAAACTCAGCCATGGATTGGAATGCTGAAAATAAAAACTTGATCATCAAACAAGAACGAGAAGAAAGTCCATACATAAAAAAGGAACCTGTCCTCGATTCGGAGAATAATGAAGAGTCTTACAGCTTCACGAAAGATTGTGTGGACAGCGTTGAAATAAGTTGTGTACCATTTCTACAAGATTTAATTGGATATAATGTTGAACAAGAATTTATTGTTGGAGATGAAGAGGTTGATTTGTCGTCAGCGAGTTGCATTGAAGATCTGGCGATAATGCGTGTGATGGATAGTGATGACGAAGACTCTGAATCGGATTATAAGGAAAATATCAGCCAAGTGTCATTGTTCAACTGTGCATATTGTAATTTTGCTTGTTCCAATATAGACACATTGGCCAAGCATGTCACAGTGAACCATTGGTTGGAGAATAAATTGAAAAATCGACGAATTCCCATGGAAAATATCATGAGCGGCATAAAACGAACGTATCAATGCTATTTGTGTGGTTATGAGTCGACTTACTCCAAACTGAAAGATCATTTCACAAAACACACCGGGAACAAAGATCATGAATGTAAAATTTGTGGAAAGCGTATTGGACGAAAGACTGATTTACATCGGCACGAATTACGGCATCAGAAATTGAAAAAATTCAAATGTTCGTATTGCCCGAAACAGTTTATGGAACGATCACAGATGCTGTATCATGAGCGCTGCCACACTGGCGAAAAGCCATACGCCTGTAAAAAATGTCCGATGCGATTCTCTTATGCATCCAGTTTAATGCGACACAACCGAAGTCATTTGGGGGAAAAACCGTATCAATGTAACATTTGCTTGAAACGGTTCACAGCCAAAGATAACCTCAAGGCCCATGCAAGCGTTCACAGCGATCTTAGGCCGTTTGTTTGCCAAATTTGTGGTAAAGCATTTAAAAGAAAGCGACTTTGGAGAGATCATAGCAAAATTCACGAAACTAACCGGTCTAATGAGATGCTATTCGCATGTGATGAGTGTCCATCAAAGTTTGCACATATCGCAGGCCTAAATCGTCATAAACAAAACCATGCCGGTGCTAAGCGTTATAGATGTGTCATATGTTCCATTGATTTTTCAATTCGTCAACATTACATGATACATATGGATAAACATTACAAGGATACACACTCAAATCTGATGTTGTTCAAGTGTAAACAATGTAATAAGCAATTCAACTCGAAGAAAGAATGGATGGCCCATAAAAAAGCGCATAAATCTTCCAGACGCACTATGTTAAACCAGCCAAATTATAAACTTAACCAAAATACAGCGGTGAATCGATTGACAGCCATTGAATCATCATTTGATTGCACGGTGTGCTCGAAAAGTTTTGCTTCGAGAAGTGGTCTCAAGCGGCACGTACAAATTCATTCTACCGATAAACGGTTCCAGTGTGAGATTTGCTCAAAAAGATTTCAGCTACAGAGCTATTTAACGGAACACATGAAAATTCATACTGGGGAGAAGACGTTCAATTGTATTCATTGCTCGAAAAGGTTTTTGAGACGATCAAGGTTGGAATTACACAAGCGATCACATTTGAATCAAGCCTATCTAGACATACAATCTGGTATTATTTCATTAGCCACGGATGATTGATGAATTTATGCTTTTCCAAATCAAGGAGTTTTTTTTTAACCATATGAATATATCGAAATGTTTGTAATCTATTTCAGTATTCCAGAGCGATGCGAACAATATATTTTTCTAGAAACAGTTGCTGTTTTTTATATTTAAGTTTGGAAAATGTATCGATGTTATTCGATCAACAGTCTGTCTCGATTAAATACCTCATATTAAAATGATGTAAAGAGTTTTTATTTCTTTTATCTCGACCAAGGAACCTATCAGTAACACAAATGATGTCAGTAACACAAATGATGTTTCACAAAAAATTAAATTTATTCATTATTAATTCTGCAGTTTGATTTTACAACAATTGTGAATCGTTAAAAATTCGTTTTAAAAAAGTTACAGGAAAAGATCTCTAAATATTTAATTTTTTTTGTAAATTGAGGGAATCAAATACTTGTTGTATTTTTGTAAACTTGCGTTTCAATCACATCCGAACCAATGTATTGTTAACAAAATGGGATTCGGCTCTTTTGATTTCGACCAGGCCTTGTTTCAAATTTTCTTCGGCCCATTTAATGTTCACAAATAGTTCTTCCTTGAGATAAATGGCCAATGGGCGAGCATTCACTAGCTTTGCACGTTCTTTGCTCAGTTTGCCGAGGCTAATTTTCTGCGGATTGGGTAGGAACGTTTTATTTACGTAGATTTTCACTAATTTTGCTGAATGATAAACGAATGGCACTATCGCATCCACGCTGTCAGTGTATGCATAGATTTCTTCGAGATTGGTGAGGTTCTGAGCCAATATTTCAGCCTCAGCACGGAACAAAATGGCGTCCAAGTAAAGTACCTTTAGACTTTTCATTGCTGCGATAACATCTTCAAACACTTGGTTGGCCATGATCGCTTCCAGATACGGCATCGGTGGAAATTTGGCTGCAACAAACTGTGATGAACAATTGAGGAAATGAATTTTAATATCAGTAATAAAATATCGTATTATAATTTGTACCATCGACGTGGTGGGTATCATTTGCAATTTTTTGAATTGTCCTTGTTGATGCAACTGTTCAATACTTTGAAAGATTTGTTTCATATTTAAATCAACACCAAAACCGATATCCAGGCACAGTTCATCGAATTTGATGCCCGCATTAGTGATCAACTTGGTGATTTCCAATGGAAATTTAGCTGCGGCAAAACTTTGCACCTTTGGATTTCGATGGAAGAAGTAAGTCAGTTCTTCGGGCGGTTTTTCGTCAAAACTCCAGCTCAATCTGAGAAATTTGTAAAGTTAGTTTACTGTTCTAAATTAATGTGGTTTAAACCCAACCTCCGCAAATGTGGATATTTATGAAGAAGCCATCGGTTCTTCGTGCCATTGTGTGTGCATTCGGCAAACGACTTAAGTACTAATTGTTTGAGGTTTAGACAGTACTTTAAGAAGCTATCGTAGAAGTCGGTGGCAAATGAACAGTCTTCAAACTCAACGATTTCGACATTTTTCAACAAGTCTTCAATGCATTTACCATGCATTTCTGTTAAGGCTTTTGCTTCAAGGATACGGAGTTTTTTCGGCGTTTTGTTGCAAAAAGATCCAACGTGTCGGAATATAATCGGCTGTCGACCTAAAATGAACGGAATAAAGCCATTCAGTATTGACTGAAATGTATGAAAAAGCACTTTTGAATATATTTAATCTACCCACCTCTGATTGCGATATTTTGAAAATATTCACGGAATCGTTGTACGTACAATTCTCTAGGCCAATATTCAATTCTCCCCCGTAAATCGCTATCCATTTTTATCGTGATCCTTTTTGTCGGATATTTACGTCCGAAGTATCGGCTCACAACGTCTTTCATTCGTTTGCACGTTGTGCTCAGGCTAACCAAATCTGATAAAGACAACCATTCTAAAACCTCTTCAATGCAATTGTCATTAATTGACATCATTTCAGTCTTCGGTGTATTATCGCTGGGGTCACGCTCTATAACCTCGAACAGAAATGTTCGTCTTTTCTGCTTTCTCTGCCTTGAATCACGCTTCTTTCTTTTCGTACCAGCCATGCTGCAGTTATTGTTCGATTTTTTTTATTCGGAATAACACAAATATCTCATCGATCTAAACGAAAATCCACGTCGTTGCGTTATAACAAAATATATTTATTACTGATATTAAAATTCATTACCTCGACTTTTCATACAGTAGCTACTACATCAAACGTCAAACTAGAAATAGTGCGGAATCACAACCAAACTGAAGTTGAACGCTCAGAGTATGACATTTCAATGTAAATGATTATTGGCGCAATTTTTTAAAAGTCTTTTGTTTGCAAACGTAACCTTTATTTCTCTTTGTTTTTTTATTTTTGTTAAAATATTTCATATTAATAATCTAAATATTTGATAAATCAGTTTTTTTTAAATAAATAAAAATGGAATACATTTCATTCGTTGATTAAATTATCAGAGTCATTTTGATGAATTTTCGTCAGCAGCATGATGTGCTTTGCATGTTGTGTGTGGTTTGCTAGACGTTTTTGGCCACTTTAGATGATGGTTGCTTTTCACATTTCTTCTCGTGTCGATTTTTCTTGACTTCTGTGTCGAATATTTTATTACAAATTGAACAACTAAATTCCGTCTTTTCATCGTGTTCGTGAATATGTTCGTCAAGCGCATTTTTTTCTCGAAACTGCTTCGGACATTTTTCACATGCAAACAACGTTTCTTTTGAATGTGTTTTCATGTGTCGACTTAAATATTGCTTTTTTGTGCCTGCATAAGTGCAGCCTGAAACTGAACACTTGTATGGCTTTGCGTCAATCACAATTGATTTTCGAACTAAAACCAATGTTGTACGTCTTGAGTTCCGGCGGTGCACACTAATTCGAATTCTTCTTCTTCTTCTAGCGATACGTTCCTCGCGTGCTGATTCTGTTTTGTTGTCCAGTTTTAAATCAGACATATCGACAGGTTCTATGTCTTTTGGATCGTCCGTTTCTTCACGGATGTCGTTTGAATCCGGTACACCAATATCTGTAACAATATCTATGAAATATGCAAGGACAACGAGAAAAGATGCAAAAGCAAACATTCGAATTAAAAAAATGTCTACTCATTGTAATTGTGATGAATACTTTTTAAGTTCAATTTTAAAAAAATGGAAGTATTCTCAATGATTTGAGGTTAAACTAAAAATATCTGATGACCAAATATTCACCTTCGATTTTTGTTGGTTTTATAGGGAGATTTTCAACACATTTCTCCACAGTTGATGCTTCTTCTTTAACTCGTCTTTTTCTTTTGGTGATTTTGCCGACATTGATTGAAGATTCGTTTTGTTTGAGTTCGGGCTCCGGAACTGTAATGTTGAAAATGGTTAAATATTCCAGAAATTCACAAAATTGTTTAATAAATGACCAGAACTAACTTTTAACCGTAGAAACGTTGAAATCAGCAACTGCGTCCTGTTTTATGTGTATCTCGTTCTGATCAATTTTTTCGATGAAATTGTTCGTGCAATCAGCCACAATGGAACTGTCTCCAATCAATGCCGTATTTATGCTTTCTCTAATTTGGAAATTCGCACTGATCGATGAAAATCTTGTCTGTGTGCTATTCTGTGCGGCAATATTAGAGCCTATTGAAGTAGAGAAAATTATGAAAATAATTTTAAAATATCATGCGACTTTGACCAGACTATCGTTATAATAAAATTGTATAAAGTTTAAGAAAATATATCGGGAAAATGGATTCATTTTTGTCACAAAACTTAAATATCCAGTACTTGGCGGATAAATAAATAAAACTAACCGTTATTGATTGGATCATTTAAGCCATTTGGTTTATCTAATCTCTCTAGCTTGTTGCCAGTGGTCATGATTGAGTCTCGCGCTACAATCGTATTGTTCAGGTATAAATTGAGTAGCGTCGTTATATTTCCTAGCGACATATCGCCCGAAAAAACGTTTGTGTTTGATATTTTTTTTAAAAGATCATCTCCAATCGTATTGGTTTGTTCTTTCATGTTGATTTGACATGCAACCGCATCACCATAAGCCATGAGTTGAGTTCGATACAATTCGAATGTTACATCCTTCAGTATTTTAATCATGATCTCGATCTTTGGCAGTGTGTCAATAACAAATCGTAAACTTTCTATCGTTTCCATTTTACCTAGACAAAAAAATGAGCAATAAGTGTTTTTGTATAAAAATGTTGTGAAATTTTCGGATGTTGACACTCTCTGTTTTAATTGGAATTTTAGGTTATATGCCAATCAATTTTTTTTTTCAATTAAAAGTCAAGTTAAAAAAGATTCAGTGCAAAATGTTCAAAATAATGGTAAAAACTGATTTTCTTACGATTTACAAAATATTTCCAAGTGGTTACCGAATTTTTTTTTTATGCACAACCAAAACGTTAATTCGCAAAAACACAATAATCTGATTTATTTTAGTAAAGGCGGTGGTACGTAGCTCTCAAAAGGGTACATACAAATGCTGTGACAAGTGTGTTTACGTGGCACACTCTCTTTTGCACAAATATTCACACAAACACATACAATAACAGTTCAATGTTGATGCTTCATCAATACACGGTTTTTCTCTCTGTATTATACATTCCGATGTAATAACACAGTGGTGTTAATTAAAGCAATCATGAGAGTGTGCAATGTACATGCGAGAGATGAGTATTGGCATGTGCTGCTTACACTTTGACATTTCTATGAACATCAGAAATCAATGTAAAACTGTAATAATATATATATTATTGGTGGTATTTATAAACATTTTACATTTTATTCATTTTCATTAGATTTTTTTTTCTCGAAATATTATCGACGTCTTATTTCACAAATTCCGTTTGATTTTTTTTCATAACTTAGTTGAGCAATCTCTTTTAAATATTGAGCATCGGTTGGTCCAGTTTCGTTGACTAATTTCGTCAGAAAACCATCACTATTCTGAAGTAAGCGATGGGCATGATCAAATTCCACAACTTTTCCCGCATCCATAACCAGAATTCGACTGCTATCTGCTATGATTGTGTGCAGCCGGTGTGCGATAGTCAGCACGGTACAATGGGAAAAATGCTTGCGAATCGTTTTCTGTAACAAATAATCCATTGCAATGTCAAGGTTCGCTGTTGCTTCATCTAATATTAGGATTTTGTTTTTCCGTAGAATGGCCCGTGCCAAGCAGAAGAGTGAGCGTTGCCCGGCGCTGAGATTACGTCCACCACTCAGAGCATCATCATCCAAACCATTTGGCAAAACACGAATTATGGATTTGAGCTCTACCTGGGAGATGGGAGAATAAAATTGTTCAGATTAAAAGGTATTGTAATATTAAAATGTGACACTGTCAAGCCAACCTGATCAAGTGCCCGCCAAAGATCGTCGTCGGAATGTTCATTGAATGGATCCAAGTTTTCTCTTATTGTTCCTGAGAATAGAGTTGCATCCTGTGGTATGATAGAGAGGCTCGAACGTAATGTGTTCAAAGGAACTGTGGAAATGTCTACGGAATCGATTTTGATCAAGCCTTCATTGTACGCCATTCGGAATAATGCCTTCACTATAGAGGTCTTGCCGGCACCAGTTCGGCCACAAATCGTAACTTTTTCACCGGCGTGGACTTTGAAGTTTACCGAATTCAAAATACGATCTCCTTTTTCGGTGTATTTCAAAGACACGTTTATGAATTCAATCACGCCATTTGCCGGCCAATTTTCAGGTGGTTTACTAATTGAATCATCATGTGCTTTGTCTTCTTCTGGCTGCAAATTTATATACTCCATAATTCGTTCAACGGAAGTCATATTATTTTCGAGTTCAGCCGTTTGTCGAACACCCCACTGGCTTAACGATATTAAACTCAAAATCTGAGTTATTGCTAGACCCACATTTCCGCCCGTTATTTCTTAAAAAAAATTCTTTCAATTATTTCCTCTGTGGTGGAAATATTTATTAGATTTTAGTTTTACCTTTGTCAAGTACTAAAAATATCACAATTGCAACGGTCATATAGAGTACACACAGGAGTTCCAGCCAAAATGCTATTGCCCGAGTTGAGGCCTTGAAAATATAACCAACACTAGTGTTGTGGTTTTGCAAAGAATTGAATTCTTTGAGGAGTACGGCCTCTGATTTGGTCGCGTGGATCGTACACAATCCGTTTATTGTAGCGTTTGTATGGCTTATGATGGCGCTCCTTCCTTTAAATCACAAATTAGAGTTAGTTTTATTTTAGACATGAATAGTTCAAAAATTTCATTTTTTCTATACCTAGTGCTTCTAACCGCCTGAGGCATCTTGCTGAACTAACATACATATGTCGCATTCCATAAAACACAAAACTCATTCCAAGTGTTGCTACTGCCACCCAAGTATTGGTCAGTGACACCAAAACCAATGACATAATAGATTGAAGGCATAGCTAGAAGGAATGAATAATATTATTGAGAGAGAAAAAACTAGAGCAAGTGTATTTCGTTTGTTTTACCAGTGTTACATCGTACAAAACAAGGGCCAAGTAATAATCGACATCGTATAAGTCTTTGCAAAATCGATTGATTATACGCCCGGAGGAATTTATATTGAAAAAATACATGCTGGCATGTAATACACTTTGCAGCAGTCTATCATGTATTCGACGCGCGGCTCTCAAGCAGAATATATAGAGTGTAAATGCTCGTTGAAACACTAAGTACAACGCGGCAATAATTAGCAATGCATAGAGGTATAAAAATTTGATTCGGTGGGCTTTAATGGATCCAGTGTCTTTTGATGTAATATTTGCTATTTTCATTGATATAACGTAGTCGTGAGTAGCCAAATCGATTTCCCAATTCACCCTGAAAAATATCCTCTGTAAAAGCAAAATTCTTTGGATTTCTTTAACACTAGATGAAATTTACCATTTCGAAACAACGAAATCAATGCCACTGATTAGCATCTGACCAATCACAAATAATCCTATCACAACTGTGATTAAAATTGGACTTTCAACAGATTCCACATATGATTTGTATACATTCCCACTAATCGATCCGATTGATTGATGTTCTTGCCGACTCTTTACTTGCTCAGTGTGTGCCGCATTAAGATCGTGTGAGATTTGCACCTAAATGGGAAATCATTAGCAAGTAAGTTGCTTCATTTTATTTTTTTTATATGAAAAATATTTCCATACCTTATTCAAATATTTTTTCGATTCTGCATTGATATCTGTTTGATTGAACGGTTTGTTCTGAGTGATTTTTTGGCATTTTCCATTTTGAATAAAAATAGTACGATTTGAAGCGCTTATGTATTGTTCCTGATGTGTGACTAGAATGCAGATTTTATCTCTTAAAAAGTCTTTTATACAATTGTTGAAAATATATTTCCCAACAGCAGTGTCTACTGCTGAGAGAGGATCGTCGAGTAAATAAATATCGGCCCTTCTGTAAATTGCTCTGGCCAAATTTATGCGCGATTTTTGACCACCGCTGAGGCATATCCCGGATTCACCGACCTAATATTATTTGTTAAAAAAAAGAACTTGGTAATTTTTTACATGTAAAAGTGTGTGCAGTGTGCACACATAGAAGGATCAAAATTGTTCAATTTTAATACCATTGTTAAATCGCCAGCCGGCAACGATTGTAAATCCCGTTCAAGACTGCAAACACGAATCACTTCGAGATATCGTTCGCTGTCAAAGGGTTCATTGAACAAAATATTCTGCCTTATGGTTGCATCAAAGACCCATGGTTCCTGAGGTGAATAGCTAATCAATCCGTTTACAATGAGCTCACCACTGTCAATTTCCAGTTCACGTAGCATAACAAGTAAAATTGTTGACTTGCTCGCGGCAACTGGACCACTTATAGCAATCATTTGTTTGTCATGTATCTCAAAGTCCATATCAATGATGCCAGATTGATTTTCAGCACTCCATTTGGCTGTGATATTTTTGAATATAACACATTTAGCTTGTGAATGTTCATTGACTTGGACTATTTTGTGAGAGGATATCATCACATTCGAGTGTTTTTCCAAACTATCATCCGAACTGAATGCGAAATTTATTTTTTCAGATTTGAGCGGTTTCCCTTCGGGCAAAAGAAGGAAGTTTTCAATACGCTTCATAGACACAAAACACTCGGCAAGAGATGTCACGGACACAGTCCAGAAGTACAACATGGAATCATACAAGAAATTGTAGCAAGATGTGACCACAAATACTTGGCGTGGAGTGAAAACATTGCCAAAACAAACATATGAGGCTAGTGTTAAGAATATCGCTAGTCGCGATATGATCGAAAAACTGCACAACACTCCACGCACTATGAAGACACCACGAATAGATTGAAGTTCTTTCCTGAAATGTTCATAAAATTGAAGCAGTTATATGTACACCGTTGCAAAGTTTGTGAGGTTAGAATTTTTTCGCACTTTCTGATTTTCTGAACCATATTTATAAACGGTCGTTCCCACGCAAAAATTTTAATTGTCTGAATGCCTTGTAGAATCTCATTCAAGGTACGAATACGCGCATCGGTTTGTTTGATCACGCGATAACGAAATTTCGCTATCATTTTTCCCATTGTAACTAAAATAAACAGAATACATTTGCATTTTAACGATATGATTAACAACTATTTTCGTTTGCTCTGTAACCTCAGTTACTCACTTTGAATGGGAATGAAACACATAATGAACGCAACACCAATCCAGCCGTAGTAATCAAGTTCATTGTAAAGGATATATCCAAAGATGAGAACTTCAATGGGCCCCTTCCAAAGGTGATGGAGCAGTGACACCGCGGTATCAAATCGATAGGTATCAAATGATAACAAATTTATCACTTTTCCACTAGAACCATTCAACGCAGATGATTTTCGCATTTTTAAAACCTTTTGAGAAATTATATTCATTGTTACACAATGACTTGATTTTTTTTGGATACGCTCGTGAATCAATTGTTTTTTACGTATTTTTTTACGGTGGTTTAACTTTTTGTAGTAATTTTAATGGTAATAAGACGTATTGAACAGTTGATTCACTGTTTCCTATAGAGTATTTTCCATCCATTTTTATCTCCAATTACCTTGCTGTAAACCATTGAACAAAGTGCAATGCGAATGTGCAAACCCCTTTGATATGTATACATCAAAAATGGGTTTGTGATGGAACTGGATAAAAATGCGCATGAAATCAGTCCAAATGCATACCAGTGTACCGATGTATGTGATTCAGTACCGGATTTCGAAAAATATAGAACAAGCCCACCAATGCATTGAGATTGTACGACTCTGTGGAATATGACATCTCCATCTGATTATAATTTTTCAACATTTTTGTAAGAGAATTTCTTACCTAAGCAAAATATCGATGAGGGAGTACAAAACACTGAAACCGAGTGTTTTTGATAAACTTATTCTCCATATCACATTTAAAATTCGTGGCTTCCTTTTTTCTCGTTTCTTCTCCTTTTCCCATTTATCTTCGAAGTCCACTTTCAATCCAGCTGAATCATTTTCTTTCAAATTATCGTAAATATCGCATGCATCAAGCGATTTGCGCAATCCAAGTTTGAATAAATCTTTTAGCCACCTGGAAATATTGAACAATGCACATTTAAAGCCAGATTTCAGAACAATTTATTTCGACTGAATTGGTTGAAAATGGAAAAATATATTATTTTTAGTTTTCCAATAAAAAACTGAAGTTCTTGATGAAAGATTGATATTTTCTATTGATTTTCTTTCCTAATTTTTTAATGTGGATTCATTCAAACTGATTCAAACAGTGTTCATCCTTAATTTTTTGTTATTTTCAATAGTAAATTTAAAAATAAAATCATTTACCAAAATGTCCAACGTGCCAGAATGGTTGCTTTCTCGTATGGATGTTCAATATTCTCAGTTTTTTCATTTGCTACGTTCATTTTTACTTATTCCGAGTATGTTTTGTTGAATTCGTTTGGAAGCGCCTATTAACTTCACTGTTAAAAATGTACGAATCACTAAATGCTTCAAGTAAATGGTATTCATGCCATACCTAGTATGAAACTAGGCTATATAATATCATCATCTCTTTGTTGCGTTAAATTATGAATATTATGTGTGGAAATGAATATGATAGTCATGCGATCTATTGATATGCTTACACGAATAATGCGGAATCATTTTTTTTGAATGTACTTTCCAACCTGAAATCACAATCAAGACTAATCTCAATTTGCAACCTGTAGGTTATTTAACTTAAGTTCAAACGAAACCACATGAAATCATAGCAAACTAGCACATTGACTATTCTACAGAGTATTATGCTTCCGATTTGTTATATATGTATTAATTTCTACCTTTTCAATCTGCTATTCAAATTGTTGCTGTGTTTGCGGACGTTCAGGAAAACAATAGTTCAAAAGTGATCATTGTTTTACACGTATATAGTAATTTACTCATTGCAAACCAGTCAATCAAAATAAGAATCCACACGCGATCATTTGCAAAGATGTTATAGAAACATTGAAGTTTGACTAACTGAATTGACACGAAGCCTCAATTCAAATTTTCGGCTCATCTCTCATTCATTTTATTCGTGGAAGTACATATACAAATGTGTAAAAGCATTTTCGATGTAAAATATTACTTTTCCGCACGCCCAGGTCGTGTGTAAAAGTATTGTAATCACTCCAAAACCTAGGTACCCCAAAAAACCATTTTTTTATCCATTTTCGAAACCAAAAAGCACGATACACCGGTTATTTTGCTATGTTAATGTGGGTGTGTCGTACGCTGTACGCTGTGCGCTGTACGCTGTACGCAAAAAATTGTTAGCACGATTGCTCAAACACCAGAATAAGAAATGAAATTCTGCAAGTACCAAACGTTTGTGCTTCGTTAGACTTGAAAACCAATAAATTTTCAGCCACCCCAGATGTACCCTAGGATACATAGCCTATGAAAAACCTTCAAAAAATCGAACTTTTGTTCGGGACGTACCCAAAATAGGCTACCGAGGTGGGTTTTATCACTCCCACTCGATTTATTTCATCAAATAAATAGGGGCCCAGGAACAACCTAGCACCCGTTAACCCACCTTTTTGGTATTAAATGGGTATGTTAGTTCAAAATTCCTTGAAAAATCGAACTTTTGTTCGGAAAGTACCCAAAATAGGCTCCCCAGGTGGATTTTATCATTCCCATTCGATTTATTTCATCAAATTAATAGGGGCCTAGGAACAACCTAGCACCCGCTAACCTACCTTTTTCGTATCAAATCGGTATAATAATTCAAAATTTCTTGCATTTTTTGTTCTTAATTTTGTTAAAAATCGCGCTTTTGTATGAGAGTTTCAAATGACTCCTTCGCTCATTCATGTTGTTCTATGGATTCGAAGGGCTGCCATATACAGTGAGCGTCAAAAGTTTTAGCACAGTTAGTTTTTTTCAGTTTTTATATATATTTATTGTTGTTTTAACGAATTTTTTTTTATGGTTTTATGAAACGATTAGAAATATATAAATTCATAATCTTTTTTTCGAATTTAATTTACCGTTACTGTAGATAAATGACAAAAATCAAAAATCACGCGTTAAAAGTTATGGCACACTTTGGGAAAATTGGTCAAAATCTTGAATATCTCACAATTAATTGTCGGTATTTGGCATTTAAATGAAGATGGTGACTCAAATCAAAGGTCCTGGTACTTTGTTTTGCATTTTAATGATGGCCTTAAGTCATGAAGCTGGCCGGCATGTGGCCAAAATGTGGTTTTTTGTGTTTTTGACCACCCTGTATTTTTAAGGCTGGCCATCTGATTAAAATCAGATGAAATATATACAGTTGGAAACGTTTTTGAACGTAAATACATTTAAAACTCAGGCACAATAAAATCGGCGGCCATTTGGCCGAATTACGGCCTCATGTAAATGGAGCCAAAAATTTTGGCCATTTTGAAATGGCCACCTGAAGCGAATACTTTGCATATGGCCAAAGGTAAAGGTCTTAATAAGTAGGCAATGTTTATAGAAAAAAAATTCCGAGAAGATCTAAATTTGTCCATATGTTTTTTGATTGTTGGCCAATGGTTTCACATGACCGAAATTTGACCAAATGGCCGCCGATTTGATTGTGCTTTAGCACTAAATGCATCTACTTTCAAAGACGTTTCCAATTGTATATGTTTTAATCAGATGGCCGGCCTTAAAATACAGGGTGGTCAAAAACACAAAAAACCACATTTTGGCCATATGCCGGCCAGCTTCATGACTTAAGGCCATCATTAAAATGCAAAACAAAGTACCAGGACCCTTGTTTTGAGTCACCATCTTCATTTAAATGCCAAATACCGACAATTAATTGTGAGATATTTAAGATTTTGACCAATTTTCCCAAAGTGTGCCATAACTTTTGATGCGTGATTTTTGATTTTTGTCATTTATCTACAGTAACGGTAAATTAAATTCGAAAAAAGATTATGAATTTATATATTTCCACTCGTTTCATAAAACCATAAAAGAAATTTCGTTAAGACAACAATAAATATATATAAAAACTGAAAAAAACTAACTGTGCCAAAACTTTTGACGCTCACTGTAAATACAATGTAAAAACAAGACCGCAGATCGTCGCTTCGCTCCGCTCTGCGTCCTTGAAGCTTGCAGAAGCTTGTAAATTCAAGGGGTTTAATTAATTTGATATTTCTCATCAAATTAATATCGTAAGCACTACATGGAATGTAGTTTCAATCGTAGTATATTTTTTGTATGCAAATCATTTTAATATTGTCAAAAAAATTAAATAAATTTATATGATGATATTGTATTCTTCATATGTACATTATTTCACATTGGTAACGAAAAAAGTGTAAATTTTTTTTGAGTTATTTCAAAGGTGAATTACAAGAATATGATTTTATTTCGTTTTTGCAATTAGGCGTAATTGTTTCATTTCAAATAAAAAATATGAATATTGAAATGAATCAATTTACGGTCCAAAAAAATGGCCTAAGGACTCTTAAAATTTTCTTGGGAAAAAAATAACAACTACAGTAGCTTGCATTCCATGTAGTGCTAAAAAGACGCGTTATGATTTTGGTCAAGAAAAATGTGGTTATTCTAAATGGTATTTTGTTCAACTCGTCACATTTTGTTCCAATTTTTTCAGTATTCAGACGACAATAAAGACAATCAGACGTTTTATTTCATTTGAATGCCCAACATCGAGATTTTCGGAATCATAATACAATTTTCCATAAAATACATGAACGTATTGTTGTTTTTTTCTGAAAATTCTTATAAATAGGAATTCCTAGGCAAAATCTGAATAAAAGCTGAACGCTATTAAAACGGTGCGGAAAAGTTCATCTTACGGAGGTAAGACTATTTATTTTTAATTCATTTTGCAAAAAAAAATCATTTACAAATTAAATACCATCAAATGCGCACAACTTCAAAAGACTATAATTAGAGAGATGAATATTCAAATCTTGGTAGATTTGCCGAAATGACTTCGGGTAGGGACTCGTCCCGATATCAAACGAACGGGCAGACATATTTGAAAAAAGACAATTGATTTGAATTCTACAATTTATCTACATTTTTTTGAAAACTTTCTCCATTCGAAAAAACATTTGATTCATGGAAAATTCGTTTTTTGACCAAGATTTGAGTAACCCCATTTTGGAGCGGTTTTTCGATAGCCGATTACTCAAAAAAATTGTTCCTACATAAAAAAAGTAAATACACTACATTAAACTTCATAAAATCTAAAATTGAAATCGCCCTACCCGAAGTCATTTCGGCAAATCTACCAAGATTTGAATATTCATCTAATTAGAGGCATATTCATGTTTCACATGATGTGCTAGGAGGTCAATAAAGCTTCATTGTTACGTAAAGAATAGAATAATAAAGGAAATAACGATACAAAAAATTGTTGGAAATGAAAATTGATAATTATTTTGAGCTTTCTAGCGAAGGCGTCATCTAGTGAGAAATTATTGATTGAGTTAAATACATTTTCTTTATAAATTGATGTGATATTAATTAAATGATGTACTTACCCCCCGTTTGTCTCCAATGTATTAGTTGAATGGTTGAACATAATTTCTACACAATACATTAAATCAAATTTAAATACATACATAAATTAAATCGAAACCGTTATTTTTTTCAATAATTCACGAAGACTTCATGATGAAGTGAAATGAAAAAGAAATGTGAAGCCAAAAGTCAGTTATATTTATTTCAGTTAACAGAAATAAAATTATCATTCTTATCTAATTTTTTAAATAATTGCAGTATGCTCGCTATGTTATGTAAATTGTATATGTTAGGTAAATTAGGCCAATTTCGGTTGGAAGAAAATTTGAATCTAGATTTGAATACATGTTAATTGAAACGTCCCTCAATCTTATCATGAATATTATTTAGCTAAGTTGATGAAAAATATGCACTCAAAAATTTTATTAGTAAATTCTCTACGAATTTCATACGTAGCATGATTATTCGTACATTGTACGCTTGGAAATTTTTGAGTGTGAATCGTTTAATTTCTGAGGCATTTATTGTAAGTAAATAAAAAAATACGTCTTAATTTGTGTGGAACTTCTGAAATCGATTTCATCTTTTTATTTGAGTTCAAGTGAAATAATTTTTTTTGCAGAAATCTGATTTCATAAAATTCTTCATCCAATTAAAATTCACCAAACTAGGGGTACTTTTTCTCGCCACAATTGGATTATTCATTTATTGACATTTAATAACAACAAAAGAGCCACACTCATTTTTTGGTACCTACAAAAATGTCAATTTTACTACTGCTTTTATAATGTGGTGAATTCGTTGCCCAATCGAAAAAAAAACAACTTATCCGGTTTACGTTGATAAATGGACGCTGTTGAGTGCGAATTTGTTGATATCTTGCTATGATTGTAATAATCAGATAAAAGCGTACATTTATTCTGAGCAGTTCAATTCTACAGCATAATATGCCTGATCTTATCAAATGCCAAATGTCGCTCTTGCGTCGCAAATATATTTCATCGAAGTCAGACATATTTTTCTGTATTGAGTTCTCATTTATATTCTCATTCTTATTCTGAGTGTGATTCATGTGTGAGCGAGCATATGTTTTAATCATATGATATCATAGTTGAACGTCATAATATGAGCTCGAGCACACGTTCAAATTTAAATCAATTAATGACGTTAAATTAATGACGCAACGCATATATTACTCGTAAGGATGCCAATCGAATGTTCTTTCTACTGAGTACTGAATGAATCAACCGGATTAAAATTCAAATCTTGAAACTGGTTTCAATATTTAATATATATGTTTTTCGTAAGGTGTGTATTCACGTTTTTCGAATCAATTAGGAACGAGACGATTCTGGACACCAACTGGTTTTAAGCCAAAATCAATATTGTAAACAATGAATGCATTTCCATGGCATGAATAAGACTGACCACGGGCCGTTTGCAATATCAAGATAGAATAGCGAGTGACATCATGCTATTTTATCCACGCGTGAATCAGGTAGACACTTCAGCACATGTCATAATCAATGTGAAGACCACTTTCAAACGAAACGATGTGAAATTCAGAGAATTTGTACAACTAAATTGGCAAATTCACATTGGTGATTGTTATGAAACCGAAGATGAGTAGACATGGAGGCGAGCCTACTGTAATTCAAAGCTGACATATGCGAATGAATCCGTTTATTAATGTGTTGGTAGACAAAATTGAAATAGGCGTATTTTCCGAGCGTACGGTTCAAACAGTCATCAGCTCAATTTGTGCACTACAAAGTTTTTTAAGACACTTGGCGCTTAAATCTGCATCAGTGAGTGGCCTAAGCACATACGCATCGCAGTCAGATATATTATACACATTACTACGACACACACAGCACGTTGAACATGTTTGTGAATATCATTGTCGGTAAATGTAAATCAGTCACTGGTAACTTAAGGCGCCTATTTATTAACACTTCCCTATTGTGTTAGCCAATTTATATATGTATATATATATATTCATTTTCTCAGTATTTCTCGATTGAACAACGTGAAGCGATGCCAAAAATTATTATTTGATTGGTTTTCGGTGATTTTTCATTCTAAACAAATCCGCTTAACAAAATAAGAAAATGCGCAGAAAATTACAACCAGATCCAAACTCAATGTCAGTCCTATTCAATTTTCACTTGGCAATCAATCAATTCGTAATTCGTCTTCTCCGCTTTCGTGAACGCGTCAAATAACACCTAATAGTGTGACTCCTCACTGTGACTTGTGATCGAGAAAATCAAAATGTATGCCAATGAAAATCAAAAGCAGCCATAAGAAAGTCGGAAAATCATCTTGTATCATCGGGCTAAATAGAAACAAATCGATTCCGAATCCTATGACGTTGAAAAATGGCTTTTTCAATGTGCGTTCGCTTCACAACCACCATTAGCATTTGTAACCAATCGAATTATTTTATTTTATTTTAGTGGCAAGTATGACTCTGAGTGAATCGCCTGAAATCCGTTGTGATCATTTTATTATGTTTCTCTAAATTCGGAATGACAAATGATATGGCGCGATAAAATTGGTATTAAATTATTATTTAATACACTTTATTTGGGCGGCAATTTTGTCCATATGAAATTCTTAAACACCACTTTACTGATTAAGCTGCATTTTTTCTGACGTTTTCGACCGATACACTTCGTCATCACATTTTTAAAGTTTTAAAAGTAAACATATTGACGATAATATGACCGGAAAAATGGAAATACTTTCTCAACTTGTTTAGATTAGATTAAAATATGTCACGTTACATGACTCACATATCCATCTGCTTCATTCACATTTGTTTATTTTCTGCCACTCTTCAAATTTTAGCCCCAATTTTTTTATTTTTTTTATTTGGAAAATGTATACAAAGTACATGAACAATATGATTCAGTGACATTTACATTGCATTCGCCTGGAATTAAATCAGAAATTGGAATTTGTTGTACCTTTGATGACTTTTTGATCGACTATGTCGGTTCGACATTTTACAATTCATCTTCAATTTTCAATTAACGTACGATGATCACTTTTGGAATCAATAGCCCATATGAGGATTTGTTTTTCCTCGTGATATAACGCAAGGAAAATTATAAAAATTCATGGCAGTACTCAGTGTTATATAATTGTTTTCTTTAGTTTGTCTGTTTGTGCTACTATCTAAATCTTGATGATTCACCAAACGGAATATTACAAAACAGATTTTAAATAGAAAACCAGAATGAATTTTGAACCGACAGACAAAATAAATATGTGGCTTATGGCGTAGTTAAATAAAAAAAACCAAAAAAAAAAACATATAACGCGTGTTGTTTACAATGATCAAAATGATCAAAGCCCAACGAAATATTATATTGTGAATATAAAGAGTGAAACTGTGACAATTCATTCGAATTCAAATAAATTTGCATTCCGGTTGGTCAAGAGTGAAGCTCAATAAAAAAAAAAAGTGATTTTATCATCATTCTACTAACTATTCAAACACATTTTGGTTTTCACTCTTTAAATTTATCATAAAAGTCTTGATTGGTATTTTATGGTGAACAAAAAACATTAAAATCCACATGATTTATGAACGTAATGGGAATTTAATCAGATTTGATATAATTAGTGAACAAACTTCATCTGCATTTCGATGATGTTTAAATCGTTATTTGACAACGAAAAAAAAATGTTTACACTTCGCAGCAAGCGCCAAGTAAAAAAAATGTCAATGAAGTGTTTTACGCATCGGTTTGCCACCTCCACTTTGTCATAAAACAATACACACATATCGGCTTCGAGCCACTTAAAATAACCAGTGAATGCAGAAAAAGTGCAATTTTCGTATTTATATTGATGTAATTTATGACGAAAAACGCCCGAGCGAATAGGAGCGATCGCAGTGTATGAATCATCTGGGCGATGTTAGCTTGCGGCCGAACGAGAAAGAAAAACGGCGCAAAAAGACAAGCTGATTTCTATTCCATGAATGAAGCCATAGTGCGCTTGTAAAGAAGCGATTTGATATTATTGTGGGTGGCTTGTTGTAAATGTTTGTTTGGGCTACGATTGACAGTTTGCGAGAAAAAAAACGATGAATGAAACTGATTTCGTCGTTCTGTTTTGCGCGTTCTGCAGGAAATGGACTTATCTAGTATTTCAAAACCATTAGACCAAAAACAGCGCCAACGCTGGAGAATCGCAAACCAATCGGAAATTGGAGATTCGCAAACCAAACGATTTTGAGACACAGAAAAGAAACATCGAATTGTGTTTTGATCTCGCACCTCGCATTTTTCCAACACACACAAATAAAAAGTACGACTATTTTAACTGCTCACAGAAGGCTAGTAAGCTGAACTTATCACATTACTCACCTGTGAAACGTGTTATCGCATTTATTTACGTTATGGTTGTTTAATCGATTTGCCTGTAAGTGACTAATCCTCGCCAAGCTTTACTCACGATTGCAATTTACAATGAACGAGAGAGAGAGAGAGAGAGAGAGAGAGAGAGAGAGAGGGAGGGAGAACACTCGAAAAAAAGATTTGACAAATTAAAAATAAGTCATTTATGTCCACTAAAATCCGATAAGACTTTAAGTTGAGACTTGAATAAATCACTGTCTTTTGTAAACACTTTATGAATTAATCAAAATTCAAGGTACTAAGAGAGTGTTTTTTGTTTAACTTTAATTTTATTTCTATATAAACATTAAATTGAATCTCACACACAAATCGTACTGAACAACTGACCAATGCTCGTTCAAGCTGAGACGTGATATGAAAAGTGTCAGCTTGCATGTGCGTTTGTCTCGTTTCAATGTGATTAAGTTGAAATCGTTATGTATTTTTTCCCTTTTTTATTTCAGAAGTTGCGAATTTTTTCGTAAATTGTCTTGAATTTTGTCAAATCCGAGCGAAAAACGGATGAACATGTGCGGTATCGCATGTGTCTCAAACGAACTGTTGCATAATAACTCAATCGGTAAACATTTATTGACATTACCCTCACGTACTGTGTGTATGCTGAAATTAAATTGTACGCGGGAGATAGAGCAGAAGAAGAAGAGAAAAACACACGAGAGAAGTGGCTGAATTACTTAATAGTGAGATGAATGTGATTGTTGTAAATTATGTTGAAAATGTAGACAGAAATGGAAGCAAAAAAGACAGAATAGATGACGCCTCATTTGTTCGGTCCCTGGGAATTTTATGTGGTGTGTGTGTTTGTTGTTATTGTTTTTGCAATGCTTTTCAGCTTACATTGATCATTTTGCTCGAGGCTATTTTTCAGCTTAATTGATTCTTCTTGGTGCTCTATTGTTTACTCAAACCGAAAACATTTATTAAAATCGCACTCTCAGTGCGCGACAGGCGCGATTGCATTGTACCCGACGAAAACAACAATGCCGCATACGGCTCACTGTCTTCGAGTTGCAGTTGAAACAGATGTGCATGCTCTTGACATGCCGCAGACAAAGTCTCGCGTGCTTTTTCAATTAGCCAGAACAGAAAGTAGCGCAAAACCAAAACGATTCTATTCAATGAGAAGAGATAATACCGAATATAACGATCTGTTTGATTTTAACCGCTTGGGCGCAAAAGGGGTAATTACAATATTACACGATCGCACCTGCAAATTCATAGTTTCTGCTGACAGATTAAAACAATTAGTAAAAATTAAGATTAGCCATTTTAATTGCCAGAGATATAGATCTAAAAGAAACACATTCCTTTAGGATTGTGCACATCAAACAAAATTGCTTTTATTTATGAGATAAATATTGTTTACATATTTTCAAAGCTGATGACGAGCATGGAACATATCGAAATATTTTTTTTTCATATATTTATTCTGAATTGTCATTTCAAATCAAATTCACAATAGGAGTTAAAGTAGACGCAACCCCCGGACGATTAAACCAAATTAATTTTATAATTAACCGGTCAAGTATTTTTTTTGGATAATTCAATCAAAAAACTAAACTGTTTACCCTATTACTGAACACAAGTTCTTCTCCGATATTATTGGAGCGGTAAGTGCTGCGCTCGCTCATTGCCAGCCATATAGGTGACTTTAGACTCTAATCCCAGCCTCGAGCACTGTTGACGGCGCGCCCCCACCCCTCCTTTCGGAAGCCAAGGGCCATATATGTAGAGTTATCCATACCGCATATATTAGACTGCTTCAAAAAAAAAGTTGTCCCTCATCTGAAAAGTCTGGCCAGTTTCGAAAAATATACCTCAAAAAATAGGTTTGACGCAAAGAACGCATATGGGCACCATAGAAATTGGTGAAGCAAGGCCCATATCAAAATTTTGATGACAGAGTTTTCGGACCCAAATCATTTTTTCGGCCAATTTTCGGCAAAAACTGATGATGGGGTTTTGTTTGGCTCGTCAATATCTACAACTTTTACCACATCAGCTCTTGAAAAGGCATTCTGGCCAGTTACAGTGTGAAATGACCAGAAAAATGACAATTTTTCGGCATTTTTTACATTTTTCGCTCCACTGGTCATCTGAGCGGTGGACTTTTATTCAGTTTTTGACCTGTGTCGTATAGCCAGAACCTGTACAAAAATTTTGCTACTTGATAGATTGCAATTTGGATGAAATTGGTGTCAATTGATTCAGACATAAATGACAAATTTCTGGCCAAAATGAGCAAATCACGACTACGAGCTTCGATTTGACAGATAAAAGCAAACGATTTCTACTTCTTCTGCCTTTGAACATCTAGTATGATCCCTTAAAAACATTTTAAGTATCAACACGACCAAATCGAGTGATGTTTCCACTTATTTCTAGCCTCATTTTCAATTTCAACTCTAAAAAAATCGACTTTCGACCCAAAAATCCCTAAATATAGGCTTTTTAGGAATGGTGTCTTGGCGCAAAGCTATTTTTTCTCGAAAATGTGGGGAGTCTTCCTAGACAAAAACTCTTAAAATTGGCTTTTTGCGGTACCTCCCGAACAAAAGTTACGTTTTTCATGCATTTTGCTATGGAAATATCAATTTTTGTTCGGGAGGTACCTCTAAAATACACTTTTTGGATGAGTTTCTTAGTGAAAAGTTATTTTTTTCGAGAAATATTGGGAATCCACTCATACAGAAGCTCTTATGAATGATTTTGGGGGTACTTCCCAAACAAAAAATAATTTTTTCATAGCAAAATGCATAAAAAACGTAACTTTTGTTCGGGAGGTACCGCAAAAAGCCATTTTGAACAGTTTTTATCTGGGAAGACTCCCCGAATTTTTGAGAAAAAATAACTTTGCACCGTCCCTGAAAAGCCTATATTTAGGGATTTTTGGACAAAAGTCGATTTTTTTAGAGTTGAAATCGAATGTGAGGCCAGAAATATGTGAAAACATTACTTGATTTGGCCGTGTTAGTACTTAAAATGTTCGTAAGGGATCATACTAGATGTTCAAAGGCAGAAGAGGTAGAAATCGTTTGCTTTTATCCGTCAAATCGAAGCTCGTAGTCGTGATTTGCCCATTTTGGCCAGAAATTTGTCATTTATGTCTGAATCAATTGACACCAAATTTCATCCAAATTGCAATCTATCATGTAGCAAAATTTTTGTACAGGTTCTGGCTATACGACACAGGTCAAAAACTGAATAAAAGTCCACCGCCCAGATGACCAGTGGAGCGAAAAATGTAAAAAATGCCGAAAACTCTGTCATGAAAATTTTGATATGGGGCTTGCTCTAGGGCTTGCTTCACCAATTTCTATGGTGCCCATATGCGTTCTTTGCGTCAAACCTATTTTTTTGAGGTATATTTTTCGAAACTGGCCAGACTTTTCAGATGAGGGACAAATTTTTTTTTGGAGCAGTCTAGCATATATACTAATTTATGTAAATTCGTGGTTTAGCGAACTATAAGCATGGTTACTCGAGAACATAAACAAATTGTTTCCACAAGTGTGCGTCTTGACTGCTCTTCGGTTTGTGTTTATGCTCACATTCAACAATTGTCGAATGCATGTAATTCCATAAATGAATTTGATTTTTTCATTTATTTTTTCTTCTCGTACTTTTATTTAAATTATAAAAGAAGAAAGAACACTAAGAAATTTTTTTTTTCATTTACTTGCAACAAAATCTCGTCATAAATATTTTTTTTTATTATTTCCAATTGTTTTTAATCATTTTCCTTTTTTCTGCAGTATTGTAAAATCTATTTTACATATATGTATATATCACACATAAATCAATGGAATACATAAATAGTGGAATTTTTTTTTCTAATGCCATTGATTTGAATAAAAAAAAATTCTACTCTAGTTGATTTTGAACCTATGAAAAAAAAATGCTAGCCAGAAAAATACATATATGTACATATGTATTCCACTGAACTAACCGTGCACGGCAAATTTAAAATTTAATTTTTTTTCTTGATTCTCAATGACAAAAATTGTACAAAAGATCGATGCGCACGGCAATTTTCAAATATTTTTGAGTACAATTTTCCGAACTAAACGAAATATTTCAAAATTGTCGTGCCAAAGTGGTGTATTAAAAGAGAGTATACAATTTTTCAATGGTTGAGCTATTATTTAAGTTTTGTAAATTTTTTAAAATTTGTACATATGTATTCCACTGAAATACTACATACATATGTATATTTGCATACCACTGAAAAACTAACCGTGCACGGCAAATTTAAAATTTATTTATTAATTTTTTTTTATATTAAACTAGTATTGGTAACAATTTAAAGTATTTTCTACAATATTCAAGTGAAATATTTGAGATAAGTTTGAAATTTTAGTCAATTGTTATCACCAATCATTTTCTTAGGTATTACCTATATTTTATATCCATTTTTAACAACAAATAAGTAGAATTTTGTGTGGTAATTCGTGCACGCTTGTTTAACCTATTGGCAGCTGACACATTCAACAGTCGCCGTCATCGTTTGCCTACTCCGATAGCCGAGAGAAACAATTAACTGATGCTAATAGTGAACGTAATGTCATGTAAGTTCACTGCAAAAGCACATTGTGCATACTCACATTTTTCTTCACCAAACACAAATTCGTATTAAAATCGATTGAATAAATGATTTGTTCCGTGGGTGCGCAGCACGAATCGTATTTGCATTTTAATTGGAAATGCACAACCGTTCATAGGTTTTCTAGTAGCTTCGCCGCGGCGTTCAAAACACATGATATTAAGTCATTCGAACAACTTTTTTTTCATGAATTTCACACCAAAATTACAAACCATGCCGTCGTCCAGTCGCTGCACTGCTGGGGGTCGGTAAGCACAAAAGCAATCAATGCAAATGTAGTCGAAACCGCACTTATTCACAATGTAAACACTAGAAAGACAATTGCTCAGCATGAGATGTCCGCACTTCAAAACATTGCAATTTAATCAAATGATTCGACGACAACATTAGCGCGAGATGAGAATCGACGGGAAAAAAAAGAAGAAAACTTTACTAACCATGTATTTATTGCATTCATTGTGTTGAGAGCGGTGTGATTCAGTACAATGCACTTTTTATTGATTCGGTGTTTTTTATCTCCATTTTCGGATTATAATGTGTGCAAAATAATGACGATTAAGTGGTACGCAAGTTTTGCGGTCAAATGCATTTTATTTGTGACCATTTTCTCATTTCATATGCAAAATAAAAAGAATTACATTGGTAATCCCGAACTTTTCCGTACCGTTGGCCTGCGTTGTCCTGTCCGTTGGTACCTTTGGTTATTTTTTGTGAATTTTCTTGAAATAAAGGCAGTGAAAATAAAAAAATGAAAATAAAGTGAAAAATCGGTCACTTTAACTAAAACTTCGACAATTTTGTATGAGAGGTACCCGTAAACCGATTCTTATTGGCTTTAAACTTTCTGAGGTTTCATTTTTTGGAGAAAAAATAAGATTCTGAAAGTTTCATGTTGATCGCATGTGCAGAAGTTTGGTTTTTGGCCCTCAATTTTTTCCAAGAAAATTTCGACAAAAATTGAGGACAAAAAATCAAACTTCTGCACATGCGATCAACATGAAACTTTCAGAATCTTATTTTTTCCCCGAAAAAAGAAATCTCAGAAAGTTTGAAGCCAATCAGAATCGATTAACGGGTACCTCCCATACAAAATTGTCCAAAAGTCGGTAATTTTAGTCAAAATTTCAAAAATTTTGTATGGGAGGTACCCGTAAATCGATTCCGATTGGTTTCAAACTTTCAGAATCTTATTTTTCTCCCAACAAATGAAATTCCAGAAAGTTTGAAGCCAATCGGAGTCGATTTACAGGTACCTCCCATACAAAAGTGTCAATTTTTTGAGGTTTTTCTTAGGGCAAGTACCCCAGGGTCAAATCGAAAATGGCTCATCTTCGAACTTAAACTAAGTTTTTCGAATACAACACTTTTGGCATTTCCAGATTTTGATTATTTCAATAATTTTTTGAGTTATCGTGTTAACAAACACCAACGACAACGACGATGACGACGACAACGACGACGACGGCACACGAACGGAAAAGTGTCTCAAAAAGTGTTTTTCTACGCGTTTCATGAGTTTTTATGATGATCTAAGCTAATTTTGCGAAAAAAGTTTTCGGGACCAATTTCTAAACTTTCCCTTGACACGATGTGTACGGAAAAGTAAAAAAATGATTTGAAATTCAAACAAACAATAACGATCTCCTTTTACTGTACTGGACCGTAATTTCGTCCAATTTTTCAATTATCATTTTCCCATTGAATTGATTTGCATTTGGAAAGACACCGAACAACTTTGTCTTTGAAATGTTGAATTTGAAAATAAAGTGATTTAAAACATAAAAGTCAGGCCAAGCGATAGCCGAAGCGTGTTCTTATCATTTGCATGCAATTGAATTGGTTTCGTATTTATCATGCATTTCAAGCGAATTATAACATTGATTAACAACAGCACACAATGTGTATAAAGTACAAGAACTTGGACTGTGTGCGCGATTGGAAAATACGATGGAAAAAATATTGTTATTTTTTCATATTGAGTCTATTGGACAACTCATGAAAAATTGACTCACGTTCTATTGTTTTTCGTTATATCATCTTCAAAATTTAAAAAACGTTTTTTTCCTTTATTTTGTGGATCTTTGTTTTTGAAATACATTGAAAAATAAAAACGTATAATAAATTATTTTCAATAGATGTTGCTGGTCATAATGTATCTTTAAGATTTAAATGAATTTATGGTTGAAATTAGTAACAAAATACGACGATATATATATGGGCGCAAGCATGAGAGTTAAAATAGGAGAAATAGGCAAATTAGATTCATTTTGGCTTGTCCGGAAGAGTTAAAGCTGGCTATTAAGAAAAATCCATTTTGTAAACATTGCGATACCATTTGAGAAGTGACTAGTTAAATACTTGCGTTGTGTCCTCAAAATATACGTTTGATCTAGCGTTGAAAAGAAGTTTGCGGATGAAACGACGACGGAAATGGACTTAACCAAACTAATCGGTTATTTCATACAAAATTTCATGCATATTATATGTGAAAATCCACTGAAAGCATATTTTATTGATGATTTGATGTCTTTCATAACTGAGTGTTTATCGATTTTAAGTGGAATTAACATGTTAGTGGTACTTAAAAAGAATTTAAGCCTCGATTACAGCGTGTGCGATACCAGTTTGCTATCGGAATGTCGGAAACATTTACCTGATATCAAAATATCAATCAAACCAATCAGGTCGTTATTTTTCCTATAATCTTATCAAGGTTTTTGTTGTTAAAATCTGCCACGGAAGAAACAACGAAAACTTTTCTAACCTTTCGTTTATTGGACATTTTTACCTTATAAAAATTGTTGAATTCACTTTGAATCGTAATAATTTTTCATAGCTGCAAAGCATGTATATTATAGATTCTAAAAATCAACGATGTTAAATAGCATTGTTCTTGGACTTATTCATCCATTGAAATTCCATGGAAAATAAATCGCTTTCAAAGAAAATAAAAATAAATAATAGTCATTTTATGTGCTGTTTTGTTTTTAAGTGATTTGGAAGTTTGTCATAGTTGAAATGTGATGAGTCAGTAGAGCTGCAGCACCACGAGTCAATATGATTGTTTGTAAATCCTGTTTCAATCGAGATAATTAATCACTCGAATACTAATCGCACAACCACAATCTTGCGAATATCATTGGCTTTGTTCAATCTAAGAATCATAAAGTGTCGAATCGACAGTGTCGATTCTAATTTCAGTTGTGTGATGCATAACTGATGATGTGTTCATTAATTGCTGGGTGTCAATACCAAAGGTGTTCATTAAAAATGTGCGCTTTCAATTCAAATGGGTCACGCCAATGGCGTTGGTGTTTAAAGAAAAAACATTTATATGGAACACCTTCGAAGTTGCGGCCAGCCGTTTCGTTGAGAAGAGAACAAAGCCCGTAATTTCACGCTCAAACTTCACTATAACACTGTTTTCAACAACGCAATACAATTCTTCTTTACATCTTCAGTTTTGTCCATTTGACAAGAATAAATGTACAAGTTGAACTATTTTTTGCGTCGTTTCTTTTTCTCCCCTTTGGTTATTTTTTTAACGCAGTCTTGTACAACACGCATATACCATATTTCTTTGTTTGAGCACGTGGTTGCAAGAAGATACAAGCGTTGAAATCGAAAGTGAACATCTTCAATTCGAACTGAATCGCCCCTCAATGCTACGCATAAATATATTTCGGCATTTCTTCGCTTGAATTAGGGGGAACGAAGTAAGTTCTTTGTGCAATATATACACAACACATTAATGTATTCGAATTCTATGTTTGACTATGAACTGCCTCGCTAATATGCTCGCTGCTATGAAATTGATGCGCAGTTGGTTGTTGCATGACTGAGTGCCATTCATTTAATTCACTGTCACTGGATGAACGCCATATATTTTTTTTCCTCGACTCAATGCAAATGTAACCTTTGCCTACGATTCGCTGGAGTGACTTTTCGTGGCATTGATATATTCAAATAAAAAATACCATCCGCAAGTACGAGAATAAATTGGGTCAATGGGCTGAATTTCTGTTTCGTTTCAATATTGTTTTTGTTTGGCGGAATCGTTTTCATTCAATACTTGTGAAGAGGAACTAATTTTTTCAGAAAAATGAAACAATTTCATAACTATTTTAATTTGACCCACAAAAAATGTGTCTCAAATCAAGGGATTTATTAATTTTCACTGAAAAATTGTTCAGTACTAAGCCTTGGCATGCCACGTGTTGCACATATTTAACGTACAATGTGTGTGGTTCGGCTTTGCAACGTCTTCGTCTTTGCGGACGTCACAACGTAAATAACAACTCTCTCTTCGCATGTGTTTTTTTTCTGTTTTCATTCTGTCGTTCAGGATGAAAATTCATAATTCATGTCGACTTATTCAAGTTTTGTGAACTATGGCCAGGTTTATTAATAAATGAACGGAAAACCGTTTCGTTGAGTGGATTTTGCTTTCGGTTTTTCGGTTGATAAATATGTCCGCTCGTGAACACAATTTTCCGCCTATTTTCACCACTTACATCTACGTGCTAGTTGGCACACAAAGAAGCGCGAAAATATTTTGTTTTTGTTTAGGCTATTTTATTATTCATAAATTAACGAGAGTAAGCGATGAAATTTTTATGATTATCATTGACAATCAACTCGATATTATATTTTAATTAGTGATTTGATTGGACATTTTAGTTGGGTTTGCATTCAAAATCCACACAAATATCTAATCAATTCCAATTTTCGTACCGTAAATCCGTTCGATGAATTTATTTCAACCAATAAATTATGAAGAACAAAATAAGTGTCTGGCCACCAAAAATCCACTTGATTTATTTCGATTTCGAAAAGATTGAGATATATTTTCAAATAAAAATTCCTGCCTCAGATTGAAGATAATTTATTAATTCAAGACAAAAATGACAGCACTCAGAACGTTTCCACAGTGTTGATTAGCAAAGATTTTCATGAAGAAAAAAA